TGTATTTTCATACCTACTTGAGGAATAGATGTTCTGAGGCCGGTTAAATACATTTTAGAATTTTAAGGGATCACTTTGTTATCCCATTTGATTGACAAGACTGATTAAGACCCAGAAAGATATAGGGCCTCACAAGGATCAGTGAAGAGAAGAGCCACCTCAGATTCCAGCCCACATCTCTTGAAACTAAGCTTCACATGCACCACCTGCCATACAGCAGCTTTGAATTCAAAGAAACTTAGAAAATTAGGAAAATGAGGGTTTCCTGATAAGTTACAATGGCTTCTTTTAACATGCTTGGTTTTCTTCCCAATTTGAAAAGCATGTTTATGTTGACATTCCAGCTAATGTAAACCGATGGGATCTAACATGGGTTAGATCCCATTCTTGAATAGTTCATATTCACTGCTATGTTCATGATTGCTCTTTCGCAGTGAATATAGGGACCAGCAGGTATGCAAGTAACATTAAAGGAAACCTTTTCTTTTGCAGTGTCTGCAGTGAAGCGCTAAGTTACTTCCTTACTCTAACATCAGAAAGTCATCGGGAAGCCTGGACTAACTTACTGCTTTTGTTTCTAACTAAAGTTCTTAAGATAAGCGATAATAGGGTAAGTATGAGGCCCTGAATCCGGCCTCACATTTCTAGCCTGATTTGTGTTGGGACGCCAGGTCCCAGAGCCGCTGTGCAGGAGCTCTCAGGGATGAATCAGGCAATCCCCAGGCTGCACTGCTGCTTGTGCAGAGCCACCAGTGGCCTTGCTGTATCTTCCTCATTCCTCGCTTTTTTCTCTCCTTACTCAGCTTTGTTCACATATCAGCGGTTCTCTAGGGGATTCAATAGGCAAGGGATCAGAATCCCTTGAGATAGCGTGACAAGTTCCTGGGTTTCCTCAACATTGACATTCCCATTCTGACCCCAGGAGTCTCCCCTTTTCCCCCATTTTGAAAACTGCTGTCCAGCCACCTCATGGCCTTGGACTCTGCTCTCTACTTAAGACTACATCTGGTTCCTGGGCTTGGACTCTGGGCTGCAGGTGTTCCTTTGGCATATTTAGTGGTTCCAAGTAACCCAGAGTCCCAAGTGAATGGGCCTCAGAGTCCCAAGTGAATGGGCCTCATGTAAGAATTTTAAACCAGTAGAAGTAAAAATAAAATACACATGTGACTAAATATAAGTGCATATTTAAGGTTTTCAAAAATGTATATTCTACTCTTAAAAAAATAGCAACTTAGAGCTCACATATAAGGAAACAGGTTGCTTTGCTGTGACCCTAGAATAGATTTTAAAATGCCTAGTAGCGTGGCCTGATACTTGAATGGCCAAGGGCTTTAAACCCCAACCAGCCTCTGTTATTCTACAGCTGGCTTTTTTCCCCATATGTCTCACTGCTTCCCTGGATCTGGAGGGGCACAGAGGGGTAGGAAAGGAGGCTATAGACTAGAGTTCAGAGATAAAGGAACTACTGCAAAGATACAGTCAAAGTAAAGATATTGAACTGTACATGTGAAACTATGTACCTTTGCCTGGAGAACTGTTTAGATTTTATATTGCAGTGTTAAGTAGAATTTTCCCCAAAACTAAAAATTTTATGTAACAAAAGATAAAATTTCAGTAACCTATAGTTTATAAAAATTCAACTCTAGGCCGGGTGTGGTGGCTCATGCCTGTAATCCCAGCACTTTGGGAAGCTGAGGTGGGCAGATCACTTGAGGTTGGGAGTTCAAGACCAGCCTGGCCAACATGGAGAAACCCCGTTGAGGCTGAGGCAGGAGAATCGCTTGAACCCGGGAGGTGGAGGTTGTGGTGAGCTGAGATCGTGCCATTGTACTCCAGCCTGGCCAACAAGAGTGAGACTCTGTCTCAAAAAAAGACAAAAACTCTAGTTTGTACTCAGTTGCTTCCTTTTGCTTATTATCCAGGAAACAGAGTGCTTAAATTACTAAAAGTTTGTAAAAGATATACAGGCAGATGTTTTTCAAAACAAGGATATGTAAGTGAATCGTGTTTGTATGAAGTGAGCTTTTCTAACACTTCTGTCTCCCAGTTCCACAATCCAGACTCACTGCCTGCTGTGAACCTTACTTTCCTGGCTACTGTAATGGAGCCTGAGAGTAGTTTGACTCTAGGCAGTTTTAGGCTCTGGAGTTTGCAAGCACTGCTAACAGAAAAATTCATTTTCCCTGCAGTTTAAAGCTCATGCATCATTCTACTACCCTCTCTTATGTGAAATTATGCAATTTGACTTGATTCCTGAACTTCGTGCCGTTCTTAGAAGATTTTTTCTGCGAATTGGAGTAGTTTTTCAGATATCACAACCACCTGAACAGGAACTTGGAATAAACAAGCAATGATGAAAACTCAGTATTTTTGTTGGCGTTTACATCCCTTCGCTCTTTAAAAGGACGCTGGAGCTGAGGTTTCCTACCTGAAAAATGATTTCTCTGGATTGCAGTGTCTGAGAGTTGCTGGTAAAGATGCTTAGAACGAACTCTTAACTCAACCTTGCAACACTCCAGTCCCTTTTAGTACTGGTGGATTCTATGTGTTATGTTGGCCTCATGTTGAGCAGAAAGCCTGTCTAAACAGTATCAGCTCATGCTCACAGGTCCCTTCCCTTCCACAGCAGGAAGAGCCCCACATATTTTTGGCAGGTGTGGAAGTGAAACTTACCCAAAGAACTATAGATGTAAAGATTGAACTTCTACAAGAAGTACAACTCAGGAGGGCTGTATTTTGAAGGATAAAATGTTTATAATTGGGGAGTGGGGAGAGAAGAAGAAATTATTGTCATGGTAAAAGATAATTAGCAACTATGGTATTCTTACTCTGAAGATTTTTGCACACTCAGGCTATCTGAGATACTGGTAATCATCCTGTGAAAAATGTACAGAGATGCAGGTCTGTAATATAAAAATCTTAAACATTATATAGTTCTTCCTGCACTGTTTTCTTTATTTTCTTATTCATTTGCTAAATACCCATAATATTTTGTCAAATGCACTAAACATTTGGGTGGAACTTTGTCTTTTTTATTTTGTGCGGATTTTTAGTTTTGCCCTTTTTGAGGGGTGGTAATTTTGAGGCTTTAACATGCCCAGAAGCTGTTGTGGCCAACACTTCAACAACAGGGAAAAAAAGGTAGAAAATATCCCTACTCACTGTAACTACCTGTAACATATTTCTCTTAGGGCTTTTAAATATGAGCCATTAAAATAGAATGATCCTTTATGGACCGAAAAACTTGAATCACTGCAAAATGAATCCAGATTGCTGTCAATTTTCTTTTCTTTTGGGTGGTGGGGCTTGATGTAGATTTTACTCTTATGTACAGAATTTAACGTTGAATATATTAAAATAACAAATCTGGCATGGTTTGCGGAGGTTAGATTTACTGGAAATGTATTCATACTGTGAATTGTGCTCTGATGGTTAAAAGAAAAGATTGTCAAGCATTCCGTATTAACAGTGGATGTAGAAAATTTTTTCAAATGGATAAAATGTATATGGTACAGATGTAAAGTTTTCTATGTAAAAAATTCTGTACAACTTTCTGTACAATATTGATTCTCATCTGGCATATTCTAATCAGGTTATAGGTCAATAAAGTTTTTGAATTATTTCATCAGTGCAATCTAAACCTGTATAACCCACCCCCATGTTTCATTCCATTTTTTCAGAAAAGCCAACAACTATGGAAAAGACATTTTCAGCCAGAACTACAAATTCAGTATTGTTCATTTCTGGTATTTTCTTTCCAGCTTCTAGCATTAGATCCTCCCTCACACTGTACTTTATTAACGATAGGATATTTGTTTTTAAAGCAAGTTTTAAAATTTTTATTTATTCATCTTTTAGAGACTGGATCTCACTCTCTTGCCTCGGGCTGCAGTGCAGTGGTATGATCACAGCTCACTATAGCCTCCAGCTCCTGGGCTCAACGTGATTCTCCCACTCCATCCTCCCCAGTAGTGAGGACTATAGGCATACACCACTCCACTTGCCTAATTAAAAAAAAATTATTTTGTAAAGATGGGATCTCACTATATTGCCCAGGGTGGTCTCAAACTCTTGACCTGAAGTCATCCTCCCACCTCAGCCTCCCAAAGTGCTGGGATTATAGGCATAAGCCAACATACCCAGCCCAAAAATCTTTTAGTATTTTGCATATTCATAACCCAGGATTAGGCTACACTACTTGAATGCTGAAAAGAGCTGAAGTTCTCTTCAGGGCAGTTTGCAATATTGTGTGTTTGAGGAGTCAGTTGAAGTTGTATGGTACACAGCATTAAACAAAAATGGAATGTGTCAATATCATCTAACGTGGCTGTGTTTAAAAAAAAAAAAAAAGGATTCAGTCTTTGCTTTCACACCTCTCTGATAATGAACAGTTACTAAACAATGCACTTGTAAGTATGCCATATTTGTCACCCCTAAAAGCTCTGTTCAAGCTCAGCTGGATGCTAGAGCTGGGAGCTACCTGTGACCTTGCTGTCTGGGGGTTAAATGCTCCCCACAACCTGGCAGTTGATGATTTAATGGGGTAGTATCAGGACTCTTCCTACAAGAGTCAGAGGCTTTCTTCTTAGTTTCAGATGACAACAGAACAAATCTTTACTAGTAAAGCAAACAATGGTCTCATTAGAAAATAGAGTATAGCCAAAACTGAAAATACCAGAAATTTCTGGCAAATTTGATACTGTCTACCATTAATTATGTCAGAGGAAGTACTGGAGAAGTAGTACCTGGGGATATTCTCAGCTCATGGTTCTGAAGATTCTAATCCAAGTCAAAACTTCATAATTTGTCTCTTTCCTTATTTAGAAGTATCACTTACTTACTGAGTGATTAGAAAACTCACATGGACTCACTTATCCAAGGGTCCATGGTGGCGGAACAAGAAGACTGCAGTCTCTCTGTCCTTGACTCCTGGATGTCCCCACCTCTCTTCAATCTCTAGAAAACTAATCTAGAAAGCTCCATAAGAAATAGATGTTAGTAATTAAAATAAAAATTTATTTATATCGAGGTATTTACATCATATAAATTAGTAACTTAAGACAAATGCCTCTATTGGCACAAAAATAGAAGCACAAAGATGTAACATTTAACATATGGCTCACAAGAACACAAGCAATCCTGGTTCTCATTTCTTCTGTATCAGCAGCTACAAATGACACGAAAATAGCACATCTGATTGCCTCATTACACAGAAACTGGAATAATCACAGCTACAATAGATGTACCTACTGAATGAATTATTTTGCATGGAGGTAACAGTGGCAAATGTGCACATAACAAGGGAATCTGGTTTTACAGGATGACAAGCAGAATCTATTATAATGCATATATATAGTAAATTCATTACCACCCTCATTTATGACAAAATTGTGCAAAAATAATTCTGTACAGTTCTATTATATAAATCAATAATCATGGCCTTTTACTTATGTATACAATATATATCACGGCAAAAATAATTTTATGGAAAATAATTTTCAGGTGGGGCTAAAAGTAAGATATATTTGTACAGATTTACCATTCCTTTCACCTTGAAAGGCACTGTTGGGTGCAGTACAGGTTTATTTTAACCATGTGCAGTTGACAGGCCCTGCCAAGTGAAAGTGCCTGGTTTTCCAGGAACCTGCTGTTGCTCCTGGTTCAGCTGCTCTGCCATGAAGCGTTTCAGTGTTTCTGAGGTGCCAGGGCGGAGCCAGGGCTCAGTGGCTATAGAGTTTGATCCGTCATCCCCCATGTGTTTCACGATGTCATCAGGGTCAACCAGTGAACTCTCGTCATCTACAGGAGGCAAGAGACACGTGACTCAGGTAACACAGGTGGCAGGCAGGGGACAAAAGTGCAGGTTTCCTGTCGTCCAGCTCATTACAACTCTGCATTTCCCCACAATGTCATGTCCTGAACTCTAACTGATTATTCTGCTCCAACTCATCCCACCCCACCCTATCTTAGAGGGAGAGCAGGCCCATGAGGGGCCAATTTTGTGAAACAAAAAATGATCAACTGAGTAACCTGACTCTATGATACTAGCAACCAGAGGGTTTCTGAGTATATCAAAGGCAACTCTCCACCACACACAAAGTCAACTGGAGGAATGGAGGTAATCTTATTTTGTAACTGTTACCTCAAGAGAAGCCTAATGGCTACACATAAAATTTCATTTATTTTTTTAACTTAGCAAGGTTTGGGGAATACTCTTCAGCCTACAACACTGCTATAAGGAAATTAGGTTATTCTGAGAAAACACTAGTTACTTCCATTCTTAAAACACCTATCTAAGAAGGCCATGTCAGCCCATGAAGAGGTAGCTCTTAATTTCATTCTTTTAATTTAATTTGATTGTATTCAACTTCAATCTGTATCTTACTGATTATTAGGTGTAATAATAGGAAAATCTGTCTTCCTACCCTGTGATGTCAATTTCTTTTTTTTTTTTTTAATTACATCTCCTGGTCTTTGAAGGATTGGTATGTGCTATCAATGTGATATGCAATCAATCCACATCGTAACAAAAAGCTCCTGTTTGAAAGGACAATGTTAAACAAAAAACAGTTTAGACATTAAAAACCTTCTGAAAGAGATTCTTAAAATGCTATCCTCTCTCAAATATATTCCTGTTAAATACTAATTCAGTTTGTTCAGGCTAAAAGAAAATGCTTTTCAGCTGAAAAGGAGACATCTTTTCCTACTGTCTCATCAATTAACCATGTCTGCTTGTGTTTGGTATGGAATTACCATCATCAGAACACACCACACCTTGACTACTAGATTAGTATATGAGTACAGTTTTAAATTAACACAGTATTAAAGATAAAAATCTAAAAAATCTTGAGATTTCTGTAATGTAGATTAACACACTATAAAGAGTATTTCCTAAATAGACCATTCCACTACTTGCTAAAACTAATATTATTACCAATATGAAACTATTCCCATTATCCCAGTGACTAATAGCACTGGTATAAAAAAGGGTGGTATAGGGCCAGGAGGGTGGATCATTAGGTGTCTTATCACCCTGCCTTGTGCTCTATGACTAGCTTTAACCTGCAAGTCAAAAAAATACACTCATAATGAAGAGATTTTTGAGGCTTTGTTTGGCCATGGTGGAAAGCCAAGAAAGGAGGTAAAAAATTTCTTTGTAGTACTACAAACTTAAAGCAGAAGTGTTAAATAACCCAAAAGTCTTAAAGCTAATTTCTAATAATATTTCACCTTAGTAAAAGTGATTACTATATAACATTTTCTCTTCTGAAAGCAAAGCCTGGATATATTTAATAAGTAAAAACTATTTTACCTGTTTAGACTCCACTCTAAATTGGGTACTCTCTTTGATAGAGAAAATCTGAAGCAAATGTAATCCTGAGGTCTGGTTTTGCTCAGTAGTTACTATGTCTTGAGCCATACAACTCAAAGGACTTCAAAACTCATTCCATCTGTTCCTCAGACATTAGTGAAAACCCTGACTAAGAAAGTCTAAAGAGTTCATACAGGATTCTGCTATAAGCCATTACACTTTGGCCATTTACCTGTATTAATAGGTTTATTCTGAAGTTCATTCAATCTTCGCATTCTTTCCTCATTTCTCATTCTAAGGTGATCAACATTTACACTGGATGTAGATTTTAGAGAGAGGCCATCTGGTGGTGGTACATTAGGACGACTGCTATCCTGTAGTTAAAAAACGGAACTTCAGAAAGTCATTAACATGTAATATGTTCACAAATCAGTGAATCAGGGCCTGGCATGGTGGCTCTCGCCTGTAATCCCAGCACTTTGGAGGCAGAGGCAGGCAGATCACCTGAGATGAGGAGTTCCAGACCAGCCTGGGCAATGTGGTGAAACCCCATTTCTACTAAAAACACAAAAAAATTAGCCGGGCGTGGTTATGCATGCCTTTAGTTCCAGCTACTCGGGAGGCTGAGACAGGAGAATCACTTGAACCTGGGAGATGGAGGTTGCAGTGAGCCAAGATCATATCACTGCACTCCAGCCTGGGAGACACAGTGAGATTACATGTCTAAAAAAAAAAAAAAGTCAGTGAATCACAACATCCTCTTGCCCTCAATTGTACATTGTGATGAACAAAATAAAACAAATGAAAATATATATTGTGGCTCCTATGCTCATCCATGCAAGCAGAAATGACTCAGTCAAAGATAAGGCATAGCATTTGTGATGACAGACATGCTGCCAGTCTGGATAAAGGTGGGGAATTATATGACACAAAAGGAAAAAAGCTAAAGCAGCAGAGTCTGAGACTCAGTCCAGCTGTAGTCAAGACTGTGGCATTAACATAAGAAAAGACATGTAAAATCAATGGAAGATTAAGAATAATACAGAAAATCCTCCTTGTTTATGGACAGGAGTTAACAAAATGCAATGGGAGAAAGAACAGTCTTTCAACAAATACTGCTAGGAAAACTGGATGTCCATATGTAAAAGAATGGACTTGGACTACTGCACCTCACAGACCTACATTAAGAATGGACTGAAGTGTATTATGGTCCCACATTAAGAACAAACGGAAGGAAAGCAAGTAAATCTTCATGATCTTGTGCTAGGCAACGGTTTCTTAAGACGCCAAAAGCCTAAGAAAGATTGGTAAGTTAGACCTCATCAAAACTGAAAACTTGTGTGCTTCAAAGAACACCATCAAGAAAGTTAGAAAGATACAGAATGGGAAAAAATCTGAAAATCATATATTGATACTAGATTTGTAGTAAGAAAAATTCTTACAACTCAATAAAAAGACAATTCATTTTGAAAATGGGCAAATGGCTGGGCGTGGTGGCTCATGCCTGTAATCCCAACACATTGAGAGGCTTAAGTGGGTGGATCACCTGAGGTCAGGAGTTCGAGACAAGCCTGGCCAACATGGTGAAACCCCATCTCCACTAAAAATAAAAAAATTAGCCAGGCGTGGTGGCATGTCCCTGTAATCCCAGCTACTCAGGAGTCTGAGGCAGGAGAATCACCTGAACCCCGATGGGACAGAGGCTGCAGTGTGCCGAGATCGCGCCACTGCCCTCCAGCCTGGCAACAGAGCAAGACTCTCTCAAAAAAAAAAAATCAAGCAAAGGATTTGAATAGACATATCTCCTAAAAAATCATACAACTGGCTAATGAGCACATAAAAAGATGTTCAATGTCATTAGAGAAATGCAACTAAAAACCACCATGATACCACTTCGCACTCAATAGATGGCTATAATCAAAAAGATAGTCATGGCCAGGACACAGAGAAATTAGAACCTTCATACACTGATGATGGGAAGGTAAAATGGTACAGCCACTTTGGGAAACAGTCTGGTACTTCCTCAAAATGCTAAATCCAAGTATCCATATAACCCAACAATTCTCCTAGGTATATATACTCAAGAGTAACAAAAACATCAAAAAACTTGTACATAAACACTCATAGTATCCGTAATAGCTGAAAAGTGAAAACAACTCACATATCTATCAATTGTTGAATGAACAAAATGTGGGATAACACAGTGGAAAATGAACGATAAAGAAGCATTAGTACTGGCACATGCGACATGAATGACCTTCAAAAGAAGATAAACAAATCTAGTCACAAATAACCATAGAGCATATGATCTCATTTATATGAAATGTCCAGAAAAGGCACATTTATAAAGACCGAAAGTAGACTGGTGGTTGCCTAAGGCAAAAAGTAAAGCCATTCCCGCCTAGTAATGTTGTACGTATCATAACGCTAATAACAGCAGCATCTGTTACTTGGTGAGAGCTCTCTGCATACTTGGCTCAGTGCTAAATGCTTCACATATAACTGTATCTTCATGTCATGTATCAGGAAATAGACAAAGTTTAAGAAATTGCCCAAGCTGCCTACCCAACAAGGTGGTGACATTGTTGGGACATATACTCCAAAGCCTGTACTTTTTACTGGCTATACCATAAAGCTGTGGAGCAGAGTGAAGAGAACATGGGTTTGAATCTCAGCCTTCTTGCCCATGTGACTTTGGCAAGTCACTTGATCAAAATGGAAATGGAACCTATATCACAGAATTAGGTTGTTATGAGGCTTTTCACTAAATAGCCTCAGTTCCTTCTTGTGCCTCTCTGAAATACATACATCGTGCAAGAGAATAAGAAAGGCTGGGATGCAGAGCTGCTTACAGCCACACCAGAAAACAAGATAATACTATTACTACCCGGAAGAAGCCAAAGCAGCGGAATTCAATAGCTACCCAAGCTCATCCAGTCAACACAGAGCCTAGATTCTCACCCATGTCTGAATTTCAAGCAAGTACTTCTTTATTGGGCCACACAGATTTAGCATGGATCAGAACCCAGAGCTCTCATTCTTCTAAAATGAAAAAGGGGAGAAAAGAAATTTCATACATACAATATCTAGTCCTTTCCATTTGTTCCTCCTGCGCTCCCGCGCAGAGGGCAACTGTGATGGTGGAGGGAAGTCGTCATCTTCAATGGCAGGGTATGTCTCGCCATAAGCACCTAAAAGGTCCCCAAAAGGCAGAAGGAGTCTTAATATCATTTCGAATCTTACCCAGAGATAAATCAAGAGCCTGTTTAATTACTAAGATTTTGCTTACAATACCATGAAATACATTCGCTGTAAGTGTACATACACAGTTCAGTGATTTTTAGTTAATTTACAGAATTGGGCAATCATCACTTTTAAGTAGAACACTTCCATCATCTTAAACAGCTCCTTTGTGCCCACTGGCAATCACTCCCCACTCCTAGCTGCTGGCGCCAGGCAAACACTGCTCTGTTTCAACAGATTTACCTTACCTAACACTAAACATAAATGGAATTCTACAACTTAATCTCCTGTCTGTTCAGTTAGCAATAATGTGTTCGAGATTCATCTATGCTGTGCCATGTTTAAGTAGTTTATAACATTTTACTGCTGAATAATACTCCATTATATGGATATATCACGTTTTGTCTATACATTTACCAGTAGATGGACATCTGCTAGTTGCTAACAATTGTAAGTAACACTGCTATGAACATTCACATTCAACTTTTTGTGTGGATGTATCTTCTCATTTCTTTGGGTTACAGAACTAGAAATGAAAATGCTGGGTATTATGGTTAACTCTGTTCAGCATTTTGAGGAACTACCAACCATTTATATTTTACATTGTAAGAATTCCAGTTTCCCCACATCCCCACCAGCACTTGGTACTGTAAGTCTTTTTCCTTATAATCGTTTTAGTTGATTGATAGCTCATTTCACATGGAGACAAAGAGCCTACAACATCTACATTGCCTGCCACAACTCCTTTGAAAAAAAAATCATACCTAAAGAAAAGTTAGAATAATACAAATACTTAAAAGTCACTATTAGTTACTTTGCCAATTTCTATATATATTTGGGGGCATGCTGTTTTTGCCAAGACACTTTGCTACACCAGCAAGTTGGAGACATGATGGCATTTTGTCTCTAAATATTTCAGTGTGTATCTTCTATGAAAAAGGACTGGCTCCTACACTGCTAAAATGTATAACATTCAAAAAATTTAACATTTATACAACATTATCATTGTTTAATGTAGAACTGATAATCAGATTTTCCAAATGTATACTGTATGGGTTTTTAAAAATAGGAGTAACTTTTATTGAATAAGATGTGAGGCTTCCTATTATTCTAAAATAAGTTTTGGGTCCTTCCATGCCTTTTTATGGTTTAGCAGCTCATTTTATTTTGGTGCTGGAAATACTGCATTGTCTAGATGTACCACACTATCCATTCACCTACTGAAAGACATCTTGGCTGCTTCTAAGTTTTAGCAATTATGAATAAAGGTGCTGTTAACATCTGTGTGCAGGTTTCTTTAGGGACAAATTTTCGACTCATTTAGGCAAATACCAAGGAGTGCTTGCGGAACTGTATGGTAAGAATATGCTTATTTACTTATTTATTTAAAAGAAACTGCCATACCATCTTCCAAAATTGGCTACAATTTTGCATTCCCACCAGCAATGAATGAGAATTCCTATTGCTCCATATCCTTTCCAGCATTTGGGGTGTTTTAAATGTTGGCCATTCTAGCAGGTACGTGGTGGTATCTCATTTTTACAATTCTCTAATGACATATGATGACAGCATCCTTCCAGTGGCTTGTCATCTGTATGGTGATGTGTGGTGCAAGTCTTTTAATCAGGTTTTTTTGTTTTCTCATTGAATTTTAACAGTTCTTTGTATATTCTGGATAACAGTCCTTTATCAGATGTCTTTTGCAAATATTTTCTTACAGTCTCTGTCCTGTCTTCTATTTCTCTTAATTAACAGTACCTTTTACACAGCAGAGGGTTTTAATTTTTACAAAGTCTAGCTTATCAATTATTTCTTTCATGAATTGTACCTTTAGTTTTGTATCTAAAAGTCATCAACATACTCAAGGTCATGTAGATTTTCTGTTGTTACCTTGTATGAGTTTTACAATTTAGCATTTTGCATTTAGATGTAAGATCCACTTTGAGTTAATTTTTGTGAAGGGTGTAAGATCTGTGTCTAGATTTATTTTTTCACATGCAGATGTTCTGTTGTTCCAGCATTATTGTAGAAAAGACTATCTTTTTTTCCATGATAATACTCCCTTTGCTCCTTTGTGAAAGATCAGCTGACTATATTTTCATGAGTCTTTTTCTTTCTTTTTTTGAGACAAGTTATTTCTCTGTTGCCCAGGCTGGAGTGTAGTAAGTGGTGTGATCACAGCTAATTTTTAAAATCAGGGCCTTTTGTTGTTGTTATTGAGTTGTGGGAGTTCTTTGTTATATATTCTGGATATTACCCCTTATGGTAGCCTTGAACTTCCAAGGCTCAAGTAATCCTCCCACCTCAGCCTCCCGAATAGCTAGCAAGGTGTACATCACCACACCAGCTAATTTTATATACATATATATTTTGAGGGGGGGGGGGTGCAGGGTGGGGGATAGAGACAAGGTCTTGCTTTGTTGCCCAGGCTGGTCTCAAACTCCTGGCCGCAAGTGGCCTCCCAAAGTTCTGGAATTACAGGTGTGAGCCACTGTGCCCAGCCTGCATGCGTCTATTTTTGGGCTCTATATTCCATTTAACTGGTCTATTGTTTCACTAATGCCACATTGTCTTGTTTATTACAACTTTATCACAAGTCTTGAAGTCAGCTACAAGAATCCTCCAACTCTGTTCTCTTTAAACACTGTGTTGGCTATTCTGGATCTTTTACCTCTCCAAATGAACTTTAGAATCAGTTTGTTGCTATCCACATAATAACTTGCTGGGATTTTCATTGGGATTGTACTGAATCTAGGTCAAGTTGAGAAGAGCCGACATCTTGACAATATCGAGTCATCCTGTCCATGGTCATGGAATGTATCTCCATTTATTTAGTAGTCCTTCAATTTCTCTCATCAGTCTTGTAGTTTTCCTCAGGTAGTTCATAGATAGATAGATAGATAGATAGATAGATAGATAGATAATAGATTGATTGATTTAAACCTCAGTATTTCTTGGGAGAAGTTCTAATCTACCTATCTACCTACATAACTACCAACCAACCAGAATGAGATGCCACCTCACACCTATAAGGATTGCTGCTATTCAAAAAACACAGTGGTACTGCATTTTTAATTTCAAATTCCACTTGTACATTGCTGGCATACTGTAAAATGATTGACTTACATATGTTAATCTTGTATCCTGCAACTTGACTATAACTGCTTACTAGTTCCAGGAGTTTTTAGGTTGATTCCTTCAGACTTTCTACAATCATGTCATCTGTGAACAAAGACAATTCTATTTCTACCTTCCCAATCAGTATACCTTTTATTTACTTTTCTGCTTTACTGCTAATATTAGCTAGGACTTCCAGTATGATGTTAATCAGTGGCAAGAAAGGACATCCTGATCTTAACAGGAAAGCGTCTAGTTTCTCATCATCATGATGTTAGATGTAGGACTTTGTAGACATTCTTTATCAAGTTGCAGAAGTTTGTGCTCTATTCCTAGTTTGCTAAGTTACCATGAATAGGTAGTAGACTTAGATTTCTAGGCATAGAGTTGTTCATGGTATGTTCATGGTATTCTTAAACTACAGTTACTTCCATGGGACCTGTAATGATATGTGCCCCCGTCCCTTTTTTTGAGAGTCTCATTCTGTCACCCAGGCTGGAGCACAGTTGCATGATCTCAGCTCACTGCAACCTCCGCCTCCCAGGTTCACGCAATTCTCCTGCCTCAGCCGCTCAGGTAGCTGGGACTTGAGGCATGCACCACCACGCCTGACTAATTTTCGTATTTTTAGTAGAGATGGGGTTTCGCCATGTTGACCAGGCTGTTCTTGAACTCCTGACCTCAGGTGATCTGCTCACCTTGGCCTCCCAACATGCTGGGATTACAGGTGTGAGCCACCGCACCCAGCCAAATATGCCCTATTTCTGTTATTAGTAATTTGTGTCTTATCTCTTAATAGTTTGGCTAGAGGCTTACTGATCTTCTCAGAAATAACTCTTGGTTTCATTGATTTTCTCTATTGATTTCCTGTTTGCAATTTCATTGACTTCTGCTCTAATTTTTATTATTTCTCTTCTGCTTACTCTGGATTCAATTATTTTCTCATTTCATTACGTGGAAGCCTAATGATTTCAGATCTTTCTATTTTCTTCATGTATGCATTCAAGGCTATAAATTTGAGCATCTTAAAAATTTACCAGTTTTTTAAATTATTACATAGTCTGGCTTATCAATTATTTCTTTTTTTTTTTTTTTTTTTTTTTTTTTTTTTGGAGACGGAGTTTCGCTCTTGTTACCCAGGCTGGAGTGCAATGGCGCGATCTCAGCTCACTGCAACCTCCGCCTCCTGGGTTCAAGCAATTCTCCTGCCTCAGCCTCCTGAGTAGCTGGGATTACAGGCATGTGCCACCATGCCCAGCTAATTTTTTGTATTTTTAGTAGAGACGGGGTTTCACCATGTTGACCAGGATGGTCTCGATCTCTCGACCTCGTGATCCACCCGCCTCGGCCTCCCAAAGTGCTGGGATTACAGGCTTGAGCCACCGTGCCCGGCCATCAATTATTTCTTTCATGAATTGTGACTTTGGTTTTGTATCTAAAAGTCATCACCATAACCAAAGGTTGTCTATATTGTCTGTTATCTTCTATGAGTTTTAGAGTTTGGCATTTTACATTTAACTGAATGCATACATTAGCAAAGTAGAAAGATAAGCATTATTTCTGCTACCTCCTACAAATTGAGAAGTTGTATTTTCATTTTCATTAGATCAAAATATTTTAAAATATAAAATTTTCTCTCTGCCCCATGAGTTATTTAGAAATGTGGTATTTAATTTCCCGTGTATTTGGAGATTTTTCCAGCTATCTTTCTGTTACTGATTTCTAGTTTATTTCCATGGTGGTCTAGGGACAGATATTGTGTGATTTATTCTCTTTTACATCTATTAAGGTTTGTTTTCTTGTCCAGGTTGTAATCTGTCCTGGTGAATGTTCCATGTGACCCCAGTAAGAACGTCTGTTCTGCTCTTGTTAATGAAGTTGTCTTTTGATGTCCATTATATCCAGTTCGTTGACAGTGTTGCTGAATTCAACTATGTCCTTACTGATTTTCTGTCTACTGCCTCTGTTCATTTCTGATAGAAAGGTGTTAAAAATCTGCAACCATAACAGTGGATTCATGTATTTCTCCTTCCCATTCTGTGACATTCTGACATGTATTTTAACACTGTGATTAGGCATCCAAACATTAAGAGCTAAAACTAAGCTCCTATGTATGTACACAACATAATGAAAAGGCAACCCACTATGGAGAAAATATTTGCAAATCATGTATAAGGGGTAATATCCAGAATATATAACAAAGAACTCCCACAACTCAATAACAACAACAAAAAGCCCTGATTTTAAAAATTAGCAAAGGTCTTAAATAGATATTTCTTTAAAAATGTGCAAATAGTCGATAACCATATGTAAAGATTTTCAACATCACTAATCATTACAGAAATCTAAGTCAAAACCATAATGACATGCCACCTCACATCTATAAGGATTGCTACTATTCAAATAACAAAGTAACAAGTGTTAACAAGGATGTAGAGAAAATCAAAACTTTTGTGGACTGCTGGTAGGAATGTAAAATGGTGCAGCTGCTGTGGAAACTGTGGTGATTCTTCAAATAATTAAAAATAGAATTACCGTATAATCTAGTAAACACCAACTCTTAGTGTATATCCAAAAGAACTGAAATCAGTGACTCCAACAGATAATTTTACACCTGTTCATAGCAGCATTATTCACAATAGCCAAAAAGTGGAAGCAACTCAATCTACTGACAGATGAATGGATAAACAAATTGTGGTACATACATAAAATGGAATATTATTCACGGCATAAAAAAAGAATTCTGCCTGGGTGTAGTCGCTCACATCCATAAGCTTAGCACTTTGGGAGGCTGAGGCAGGAGGTTCACTTAAGCCCAAGAGTTTGAGATCAACCTGGGTAACATGATGAAACCCTGTCTCTACAAAAAATTTAAAAATTGGCCAGGCACAGTGGCTCACACCTGTAATCCCAGCACTTTGAGAGGCTGAGGCTGGTGGATCATGAGGTCATGAGTTCAAGACCAGCCTGGCCAACATGGTGAAACCCTGTCTCTACTAAAAATACAAAAAAATTAGCCGGCGTGGTGGCCTGTAATCCTAGCTACTCAGGAGGCGGAGGCAGTAGAACTGCTTGAACCCAAGAGGTGGAGGTTGCAGTAAGCCGATATTGTGCCACTGCACTCCAGCCTGGGCAACAGAGCGAGACTCCATCTCAAGAAAAAAAAAATTAAAATTAAAAAAAATAATAAAAATTTAAAAAATTATTCAGGCATGGTAGTGTGTGCTGTAGTCTCAGCCACCTGGGAGTCTGAGGTACAAGAATCATCCTAGCACAGGGAGGTCAAGGCTGCAATGAGCCATGATCACACCACTACACTGCAGCCTGAGTGACAACAGAGACCCTGTCTCTAAGGAGGAAAAAGAATCTGACACATGCTATACCATGGATAAACCACAAAGACATTATGCTAAGTTAAATAGGCCAGTCATCAAAGGATAAATGCTGTATGATTCCTCTTATATGAGGTCCTAGTCAAATTTATGGAGATGGAAAGTAGAATGGTAGCTGCCAGGGGCTGAAGGAAGAGGGCAGTGGGGAATTACTCTTGAATATGAAGAGTTTCTGTTTTCAAGATGAGTTCTGGAGATAGACGATAGTGATGGTTGCACAACAGAAATACTTAATGCCAATCAACTGTATACTTTCAAATGGTCAAAATGGTAAGTGTTATGTTTATATGTATTTTACAATTTTAAAAAACTTTTTTAAAAAAGATGCACTGAAACCACCAGCTTTATATTCCTTAGAGCAGTGGTTAACACAGCCATGACTTACGCAGCATTTGCAGTGACCGTTGACTGCAAAGACTGCTGTACCTTTGGCCTAGTGTCACGCAATATTCCAACACACCATCTTGAGTGGCCCAGACCATCTTCACTGATAGGAAGGACAGGTTTCATTTCCCTGACAAGCTATCTTCTCATCCCTGTCTCCTGCCATTTTATCTTTCCTTCTCTCCCCAGTGCATCTTCCTGGAAAGGAAAAACTCATTTAAAAAAATAAAATAAAATCAGGTACAGTGGCTCATGCCTATAATTCAAGCACTTTGGGAGGCTGAGGCAGGAGGATCCCTTGACTCCAGGTGTTTGAGACCAGCCTGGGCAACATAGGGAGACCTCATCTCTACAAAAAATAAAAAAGATAACCAGGTATGGTGGTACATGCTGTAATCCCAGCTACCAGGAAGACTAAGATGAGAGGAGTGCTTGAGCCCAGGAATTTGAGGCTATAGTGAGCCGTGATTGTGCTGCTGCACTCCAGCCTGGGTGACAGAACAAGACCCTGTCTCAAAAACAGCAACAACAACAACAAAAAAACCATTGAGACAGAAATATAAGTTAATTTGGAATTTTATCACATGAAAATCTAAAATTGGCATGATACACAACTAATATGTAGACCAGATCACTCCCTGTTGGCCCTTGGATAGCAGAAAACACTCATGATCAGAGTACATAAGTGTATATTACTTTTAAAAAATAAAAAATCCCATGGTACTTTTACTTATCTTCCAAAGACTAGTCTTATAACTTTTTTGACTAAAATATTAATAGTAAACAGATTAAAATAATTAAGGTACACACACAGACGTAAGACATAATAGACATTCCTATACACTTTGTCCAGTTTCCCTCAATGGTAACATTTTACAAAACTCAAGTATAATTTCACAACCAGGATATTAATACTGATAGAATCCACAGATCTTACTCAAATTTACCATCTTACCAATACTTATTTATGTGTTTTTGTGTATTAAGATCTATATTTTATATCACATTTACATGTGTGTGTCTACCCTCGCAAACAAGATGTTAAACAGTTCCCAAACCACAAAGATCCCTATACACACCTCTCCCTATCCCTCAACCTCTGGCAACTACTAATCTGTTCTCAATTTAATTTTGTAATTTCAAAACTGTCACGTAAATGGAATCATACAGTGTATAACTTAATGGAATTGTCTTTTTTGCTCAGACTAATTTTCCTGAAGAACCATCCAAGTTCATGCAAGTTTCAAAAGTTTGTTCCTTTTTATTGCTGAGTGGGATTCCATGGCATGGATGTACCAGAGTTTGTTTAACCATTCATCTACTGAAGGACATCTGGGCTGATTCCAGCATTTGGCATTAGAAATGAGGCTGTAACGAATATTCATGTACAGATTTGTCAACTATTCCTAAGACTCTTAAAGTCCATTTCAGTAATTCTGATTTTGAAAACTTTGCAAGGCATATCTAATGGTTATTCATTAAAACAGAGAAAAGAATATTCCTTTTTTTAACTACTTTGTACAACAAAAAGTATAGTAGCACAGGTTTTGTAAGAATGGAGAAAGGTTTAATATTTAAACAATATAGCTTTAATAAAATAAAAAAAATATATACTCACCAATAAAAGCACTATCAGATTCCAATAATGAGTTTTTCAAGAAATCACTAGTGTCATCTCTGGGCTAAAAGAAACATGTATCAATTACTATTTTTATTAGTTTTCTGTGGAAAAACAACAAATTTGTACTAATAAGAGGCACAGGTTTCCATATTGTTCTCCCTAAACGCAGAAGAGGATGGGGAGAGGTAGGACTGACTACACTCCAATGCTCAGAAAATACTGGAAAGCCTTAACACATAATTCCCACCAAGACAGTGATAGCAATGGAAGACACTCTCCAGGCTGCATATTCTACAAGCTAACACATTTACTCCCTAACTCCACTCCTCCCTGCCCCCTTATGGTTGAAGTCAAATAAAAGGATCACATTATGAGTGATGAAAATAGGAGTATGAAGCAAAGACCCCCATTAAACATTAAGTCTTTAAGCCACTGCCAAGATTCATTCATCCTTTCAATAAACGTGTATGGCACACTTACTATTTCTTCCATGCTAGGAACTGGGGATACAAAGATGAATTAAGAGTTTCTGCTCTGGAGTAGGTCAGTGTCAGGGGAGACAGGGGTGTACCCTCAGATAATGACAGCCCTATGTGACAGCAATTGCCATGATGATGCAGCACAGATACAGTGGACCATACAGTATAGTAAGGACAAAAATAATGCTAAGGTTGGGCTTATTATAATGAGCTACAAAATGAGAGAAAACTTAAATTTACATACAGAGAATAACAACACTGACATGTCAGAAGGAACCTGAAGTCATCAAACTCCACCTCCCTGCACCTTTTTACCACATTTCTGGGCTTTACTAAGACACTCCAGCGAAGAGGTGTCCATTAATTTTTAAGGCAATGAATTATACCAATGTACAGCATTATCAGAAAGTGAGCTTGTCTCTTGCCTAGATTACTGCAACAGCCTGCTGTCCCACTCAGTCTAAATGCACAACAGTCTGTGGATCAAGTAAAAACCTCAAGCAGATCACATCACTCTTCCACTTAAAGACCTTGGTGGCTTCTCATCACATGCACAAGTGTCAAAGGCAAAGCCCTGGAATGCCCCCCCCTCCCGCCAAAGCCCTGCTGCCTCCCCTTGTCACTCCCCGCCCCACATGCCCCACTGGCCCTTGCTCATGGCTCTTCCACTGCTCCTTACATGCACCATGCCAACTCCCACTGGGGCCTCTTCCTGGAATGTTCATCCTCCAGAAATCCCCCCACCATTTCCTATGGCCACCTTCTGGTGTCCTTATTTAATCGAATGTTCCCTACCCAGTGAGCCCCCATGCCCACTGTATTTCCAACTATAAACCCTCCCACCCAGGGTCCTCCAGCTGCCTTTTCTGCTGTTGCCTTTCCCATAGCACCATATTTCAACAAACTATCAAAGTATTTGATTATATTCTGGAAAGTAAGCTGTCAGAGGGCAAGGATTTTTGTCCCTTTTGTTTACTCCTATACTCTGGCACCTAGAACAGTTTCTGGTCCATAGGAAATACTCTTTTCAGTCCTGCAGAAAAAGTACCCCCCTCAGGATATGGGTGACAGTTATCACTCTGTTTCCTTCTGCTTATTTTATTTGTAGACCTCGGCACTACTTCCATTACAGACTCCCACTCCCACTACTTCTCACGGTAATGACAGCAAACACATTGTAGTCATCATGGGCCAAGCCCTGCTATAAGGGCTTCTAATATATTATCTCACTTAGTTCTCTCAACAACACTTGAGCTATTTTTATTTATTTAATAAACACTTATATAAAACTTATATGCCAGGCCTGTCTCTAAATATCTTGCAAATATTAATTTACTGCTTATAGCCACCCTCAGAGGTAAGTACTATTATCCTCACTTTACAGATTAGGAAGCTGAAGCATAAAGAGATTAAATAATTTGCCCTAAGTCACACAGCTAAAAAGAGACTAACTGGAACAGCCTAGCACTAGAATCTTGTTCTTAACTATTACAATATGTTTTCTCTATATATTATACTAACACTTGTTAAGCTATCCACTTCACTGATAAGACTTATGTTCTTTCTTAATTCAGTATTTCTGAATAGTTCAAAATTTGAATTACTTGATCATCATATGCCTATAAATTTTTAATCCCCCAAAAACTAACTTGAAAAATTTTAACTGGTTGCTTACCATTCTTTGCTTTCGTACTTTAGCACTTGGGATGGCATCTAAGTCAACTATAGTCAATGGAGAACAAAAGCAAATTAAAAAGGTCAGAAAATGCTTAATATATAAAATTAAATTTTAATGTATCTTTTTTGACTAGCTTTCTACTGGAAATTACTTTTCAACTACTACACTTCAGAATATTTTAAAGATATCACTTATTAATAAACATAGCCCGGCACCCATTCTAGCTGCATAAAATTCTCCCATTCACATGAATGAACATAATGAGTTAAAATCACTGCAAATTTTAATGCCAAGAGACAAAGAAAATTATCAATACAGGATCCTTCACCATATTCTGTCATATTTCAACAATCTATAGAAAGTTGTTGCATGGAGTTAAACAGGGGGTCCCCTACATGGAACTGAAATAAGCTCAATTCCAGGCACTTAGTTCCAGAGGCAAAGATCTTAGATAAGGTATCTCAAAATCTCTCCAATATGACCAGCCTTCCCATGTGCTCCTTTGAATAGTACCATTTTGCCCTTTTCAGATACTACCTTTGAGAATAAACAGGCTGCCAATGATAACCTGTATTGCTTCTCAGCATTTTAGAGACACGTTTTTGACTGTTTATGGTGAGGCCACATTCTTATGAATTAGTTCATCACAGTGTTTGCTGGAAGCTGGGGGGAAGACTGCTGTGGGAGATAGATACCTTCAGTGCCAAAATGTACCTGTATCCAGCTGGGGACTACTATTGGGCTAATCAGTCTAAGTTGCCAAATCCCACAAGATCAGATCTTCATTTGAGACTAAAGAAAAATGCTACCAAACTGAGTAAAAAGGTTGAAGAATATACTTGCTTCTTTCCTTTCTCCAGACAATACATCTACTGCTTATCCTAGAATTAGGCTTATTCAGTCACAGGGCTATGAGGCTGTTATTTAAAATTCTGTACCAGATGAAGGGAAGATGATCCCTATACAAGTGTTTATCAAAGTCTTAACCTATGATCTGGGCCTAAAGTGCTATATCGCTTACTCCTGTGATGCTACCCTCAGATTCATCACATCAAAGAAGCTGCCACAGATTCTGGAAGCCACATCAGTCTCCCAAAGTAGTATCTTAAATTTTCATAAAAATAACTGGCAGGAGCATCCCTTCCATTCTTGTTATCTTGATTGTTGTTTCTTCATGACTCACTTTCCATGGTTAACCTCGATGGCCTGAAGACTGGTAAAATACAGACGGGAAGGCCATGCAGTACACCTGGCTATCAACAGGGCCCATCAGTGCTCTCTGAGACAATAGCCCTACTCTGCATCTAAGTGCCCACCTACCCCAACCCAGTGGGATCCTAGATTTCTTCTTTGCATTCATCACAGTTATACTTCTTCAGCAGCTAACTTCTCCAATAAGAGTATAACCTCCTCGAGAGCAGCAGCCTATGTCATTCATTACCTTATCCCCTGGATATAGGCCAGTATCTGCGTTCCTAGTAACCACTAAGTATTTTTCAATTGACTGATTATACAAAAACATATTCATAATCCAGTCTGAGGCTTTACAGATACTACGCCACATCAAAACTTGAACACACTCACACCACAGTAGACAAATGCCCGACAGGGCACTGACGTGTTTGCCTGACATTCCTTCCTTCAGTTCCTAGTTCCTGATGCAAATGTCACCTGGCCTGGTCAAAGTATTAATCCTCCTGGCTTCAGTGAATGGCTGAGCCCCTCTCATGCATGAATACATCACCCCAGTGGAGCCACTCAGAGCTCTCTCTTATACTTGTTCTTTTCTGGGACTACAGGCCAAACGGACCCTGTGAATACAGGGCTGCCAGTGAAGGGAGGATGCATGGGACTGAAATCAATAGAAGAGATGCAGAAAGCCTACAGAATAACAGCATGCTGATACTATTTGACACAGCAATGATTATTTTTTACCTTTGGCACCTTCCTGCATTTTTATTCTGTTCAGCTTCTTCTGCTGCTCTCTTAGCAGGGCTTGCTGCTGAATCTCTAAGGTGTGATAATCTCTTGGAGGATCTGGGTACATAAATTTCAGATCAACTCGTGTTTCTGAATCTGGTACAAAAAATAGGTTATATAACTAAGTTAAATGTTGTTTTCAAATGGGATTTTATAAAACTTCACCATAAGTAACATAATCTAATTTCAAAATCAAGGAACGATATAAATAGTAAAACATCGCTAAAGTCAAAGGACAGTAAAACAGCCACAAAACTAAAAAACATGAAATTAACATTCTTTAATAAATGCCTTTTCACAAACTTATCAACACAAGGAATACCCCACAACAAGAAGTGGATGCTGCATTCTCCACCTCTACCTTTCTTAGCCCCCAGGATGCTACCCAGAACACAAACTACATGCAGGTATATCCAAGTGGATAGTCACATAGCTTTGACTAAGACAGCCATTAAGACATTGTTATCACAGCTAATCCCTCAAATCAACTAGAAACATGAAAAAAAGGTTACTGACCAATTAACATTTTAGTCCTTACAAATATGCAGAAAGCAAGATAAATGTAAACTGGCTAGAACTTGAGGGGGAAATGCCATTTCTGAAGGAATTTACCTCTGTCACAATTTCATGAATATCCCCTGTGAGAATTTTTTTTTTTTTTTTTTTTTTTTTGAGACAAAGTCTTACTCTGTCACCCAGGCTGGAAGGCAGTGGCAGGATCTCTAAGCTCACTGCAACCTCCACCTCCTAGGTTCAAGTGATTCACACCTGCCTCAGCCTCCCAAGTAGCTGGGACTACAGGCTCCTGCCACCATGCTCAGGTAATTTTTGTATTTTTAGGAGAGATGGGGTTTCACGCTGTTGGCCAGGCTAATCTTGAACTCCTGACCTCATGATCCACCCACCCTGGCCTCCCAAAGTGCTGGGATCACAGGAGTGAGCCACTGCGCCCAGCCAAGAATAATAATTTTTAAATCTTGAAAAGAAACACACGGTTTAAACATATAAAACGCCTTGAAAATATTATTCCCTTTGACTCACTAATTATACTGCTGGAATATAAAGAAATGATCCTAAATATATATACAGTTGTATGGTCCTAAGTATGTGTAAAGTTTTATGATCAGAAATTATTAAAAGAACAAAATAGTGAAAATGGGTAACAGCCATTTTCAGAAGTTAACAGAAGTCTCTGGACACATAAACTTGGATTGGTCCCTGGCTTCACTGCTTCCAAACTCATTAAAAAGCAATACCAACAACCAAATCATAGCTGAATGAGGGCAAGATATAGTAACACAAGGAAATGAATGGCTCATTTCTATGGCTTAAACCTTTTTGGTCTCAAGATATTTTTACACTCTTAAAAATTGAGGACCCCAAAGAGCTTTATTTATGTATGCCTGTCTCTGTCTGTCTGTCTGTCTGTCTCTCTCTCTCTCTCTCTCTCACACACACACACTCTCTCTCTCTCCCACCATATTAGAAATTGAAGAAATTTTTAAAGCACAAGAATACACAAGGACACAATCTGTTAGCTTCAAAGAGATAAAATCATCACGTCATGTAGTTTCTCAATAATCTGTATACACATGAGAGAATGAGAATGAAAAAGACAAATAATGTCTTGGTTTATAATAAAAACAATTTTGACTTCACAGGTCCCCAGACCAAACTCCTCATGAGACCCACAGGCTTAACACAATGCCTGGCAGATAGTAAGTAATCAATGTATGATAGCATAAAAATGAACTATGGTATATGTAATTAATAAAACATGTAAAACTACGTGAAAAAAATAGAGAAAATTAAATAACACAATTTATCTTTTAATTATGCTCAGACAGAAGACTAGAAAACATGGAAAAGGATAATGGTACTTATGTATAGGTAGTTTGACTAAAGTGATTTTTCCTTCTATTTTTCTGTATTTTGAAATTTGCTACAATAAATATCACTTTCAAAAGGATAAAAAGCTTAAATTCCAGTTTTCTGGCCTAAGTTATATGCACATCCCATAATCTGCCTCTTCTGCTCCAACACCTGCTCTACTGAATATGCCTAAAGGAAAAGCACACAACATACACTGGTTCCTCCACACATTCTCAGTCTCCCAGACCTCATATATCCTGGCAACTCCTTTTCCCTACTAAACTTTCTCTTTCATTCACCCTATAAATGGCTACATCGAAGCTTCCCCAACCTCTTCCTTCAAATCCCCTAGATTTCCTCCTGCCTACCCAGGGACCCTGCTCACTTCAACAAAGACTCTCCCTCCTTTCCTAGAGCCTGAACCTCTTTCCCCTGCATAGCTCCTCATATTCACATCCTAACGACTCTTCCAGCTCGTGATCCCTCTTCTTCCCTTCCCTTTCACAGCCAAGGGTCTTCCAAAAGGCTTCCACCTATTATCTCCAACATCTTGCCTCCTAGTCAATCCTCATTCCAAAGTTAATTGGTTTCTGATCACATCTTCCACTTACAAAGCTCTAGCTGAGGTCACCTATGACCTCATCCAACTGGCATTTTCCAGTATTCATCTTACACGATCCCGTCTCATTCATGCTCTTTCCCCTCAGGTTTCAGGATCCTACATTGTTCTGCTTCTCCTCCAGTCTCTCTGGCTTCTCCTCAGTCTTTTTCATGAGCTCAGTCTGTCCATCCTCCATTAAATGCAAAGTTCCCCTCTTCATACTCTGATCTCATCCATCCCAGATTTTTTTTTTTTTGAGACAGAGTTTCGCTCTTGTTACCCAGGCTGGAGTGCAATGGCGCGATCTCGGCTCACCGCAACCTCTGCCTCCTAGGTTCAGGCAATTCTCCTGCCTCAGCCTCCTGAGTAGCTGGGATTACAGGCATGAGCCACCATGTCCAGCTAATTTTTTGTACTTTTAGTAGAGACGGGGTTTCACCATGTTGACCAGGATGGTCTCGATCTCTCGATCTTGTGATCCACCCGCCTCGGCCTCCCAAAGTGCTGGGATTACAGGCTTGAGCCACCACGCCCAGCCCCATCCCAGACTTTTAGCACTATATGTTCCCCGAAAGAACTTAGCCAAACTAAAGCTTCATCTACCAGACTGGTAAACTGAAGACCTAGAGAATACAGAAGTTTCATTCATTTTAACTTAAAACATATATTGTAAATAAAATTCTACTTTAGAAAAAGGGTACAAAGATCTTTATAGATATTTAAACATGGGTAGAACACTCCTGCTCTATCTTTAAACAAGCAGCAATCTACTCACCTCTATCTTTCAGCTCATTAAAATCATGAATATTCTGAAAAGTGGCAGCATCTAAGCCCTTAGGTGACTGTCTTCTGACAGGAGCTTGCAACCGATGTCTAGCCATATCAAATATATCCATGGGATTCCTTTCCCTTTTCCTATAAATGACAAATCATAAAATATGCTTTATGGGAAAAATATGAGAGTTCACATCTAATTCACTAGTAAAAGAAATTTAGTCTCACCACATCATATTATTAAAAAAAATTATTCTAGGCAAGCTGCTGTAGCACTCATTTATAATCCCAGCACTTTGGGAGGCTGAGAGAGGACTACTTGAAATCAGGAGTTTAATACCAGCCTGGCCTAAAAAGCAAAACCTCGTCACTACAAAAAAAAAAAAAAAAAAAAAAAAAAAAAAAAAAAAAAAAAAAAAAAAAATTTAGGCCAGGTGCGGTGGCTCATGCCTTTAATTCCAGCACTTTGGGATGCCAAGGCAGGCAGATCACCTGAGATTAGGAATTCGAGACCAGCCTAGCCAACGTAGAGAAACCTGTCTCTACTAAAAACACAAAACTTAGCTACACGTGATGGCACATGCTTGTAGTCCTAGCTACTCAAGCAGCTGAGGCAGAAGAATCACTTGAACTGGGGAGGCAGAGGTTGCAGTGAGCTAAGATCACACCAGTGAACTCCAGTCTGTATGACAGAGTGAGACTCCATCTCAAAAAAGAAAAAAAAAAATAGTTGGCTAGCCACAGTGGCTCACGCCTGTAATCACAGCCCTTTGGGAGGCCGAGGCGGGAAAATCATCTGAGGTCAGGAGTTTGAGACCAGCCTGGCCAAAATGGTGAAACCCTGTCTCTACTAAAAATATAAAATTTAGCTGGCCATGGTGGTATGCGCCTCCAGTCCCTCCTACTCGGGAGGCTAAGGCATGAGAATTGCTTGCACCCAGGAGGAGAAGGCTGCAATAAGCCAAGATCATGCCACTGCACTCCAGCTTGGGTGACAGAGCGAGACTCCATCTCAAAAAAAAAAATTAGTCAAGCATGATGGTGTGGGCCTGTAGTCCTGGCTACTGCTGAGACGAGAGGATTGCTTGAGCCCAAGAGGCCAAGGCTACAATAAGCTGTGATCACGCCACTACACTCCAGCCCGGACAACAGGGGGAGATCATTGTCGCTTAAAACAAAAAATTATTTGAATAGATCTATTAGTTCAATCCTTTATCTTAAAATATAGCATATCTATGTCATTGAAATTTTTCAAAATCCTCAGATGCAAGATACCTTATTACAAGAGTAGAATGATTTAGCTTTACTTTAAAATGTTCATGGAAGGCCGGGTGCGGTGGCTCAAGCCTGTAATCCCAGCACTTTGGGAGGCCGAGGCGGGCGGATCACAAAGTCGAGAGATCGAGACCATCCTGGTCAACGTGGTGAAACCCCGTCTCTACTAAAAATACAAAAAATTAGCTGGGCATAGTGGCGCATGCCTGTAATCCCAGCTACTCAGGAGGCTGAGGCAGGAGAATTGCTTGAACCCAGGAGGCGGAGGTTGCGGTGAGCCGAGATCGTGCCATTGCACTCCAGCCTGGGTAACAAGAGCGAAACTCCATCTCAAAAAAAAAAAAAAAAAAAAATGTTCATGGAAAAAATAAAATGTTCATGGAGCATGTAAGATCAGTCTTTGAAGTCAGAGAAACAGATTCAAAGACCAGCTCTGTTATTAGCAGTTTTATCTTGATTTCATCATCTGTAAAATGCAGATCTCTACCCGCTATAGTCTTGTTGTGAACAAGAGAATTAAGATTTAAAAAAAAATTTTTGAGACAGAGCCTTGCTCTGTTGGCCAGGCTAGAGTGCGGTGGAACGATCTCAGCTCACTGCAACTTCCACCTCGATTTCAAGCAATTCTCCTGCTTCAGCCTCCCAAGTAGATGGGACTACAGGTGTGTGCCACCCCACCTGGCTTTTTTTTTTTTTTTTTTTTTTTGTATTTTTAGTAGAGATGGAATTTTTGCCACGTTGGCCAGGCTGATCTTGAACTCCTGACCTCAGGTGATCCACAGGTCTTGGTCTCTCAAAATGCTGGAACTGGAGGCGTGAGACACCGCACCCAGCCAGAATTAAGATATATTTTATATTGTTGAGTACCTAGCACCTGACCTGCATTAGATAATAAATTACCTTCCCTTCAGCCTAAAACAGAAATCACACATAGAAATACAGTAATAGGCAGGGCCCTGTGGTTCATGCCTATAATGCCAGTACTATGGGAAGTAGACAGATTGCTAGAGTTCAGGAGTTTGAGACTAGCCTGGGAAATATGGAAAAACCCCGTCTCTACTAAAAAATATAAAAATTAGCCAGGTGTGGTAGCCTGTACCTGTAGTTCCACCTACTTGGGAGGCTGAGGCACTAGAATCGCTTGCACCGGGAGAGGTTGCCATGAGCCAAGATCGTGCCACTGCACTCCAACCTGGGTGACAGAGAGAGATTGTCTCCAAAAAAAAAAAAGAAAAAGAAATATGGTCTGGCTGGACGGGATGGCTCATGCCTGTAATCCCAGCACTTCGGGAGGCTGAGGTGAGTGATCACCTGAGGTCAGGAGTTTGAGGACAGCCTGATCAACATGGTAAAACACTGTCTCTACTAAAAATACAAAAATTAGCTGGGTGTGGTGGCAAGTGCTTGTAATCCAGCTACTCAAGAGGCTGAGGCAAGATAATCACTTGAACCCACGAGGCACAGGTTGTGCAGTGAGCCAAAAATCATGCCACTGCACTTCAGTCTGGGTGACAGAGCGAGACTCTGTCTTAAAAAATAAAAAATAGAAATATGATACTAATACGTAGTTCAATATGGGCATTATTCAGAGGACCCAATGTTAACTTTACAGTAGACCTTATAAGGAACTTGATACCTAATTAGTTAACTGATTCCTGTGGTACCTAGGAAATTAACAGACAGCAGGAAGTAAGGGAATTTTCTGCCAGGGCTTTAAGGGAGTGATGATAAAAAAGGGGTGGTGTTTCCAGTCCTGAAAATAAAACAAAACACCCACTGCTACTTCCTTCAGCACTAGGTCTCCTCTATTTTTGAAAATGTAGCTCTAAGCTATAGTGATTCTGAGGCTTAGTCAGACTCCTTCCATCATCTGTTGATCACTAAATCTTCCCTAAGCACCAAGACAAGATAGCTGGGATCCCCACAGAAAATGCCCCTGCTCTAATGGAGTTTCCTTTTTTGCAGAGGATCATTCACTGGGGCCATAAAAGGACCCTGGCCAAGACTGACAGAAACCTCTAATACCTAAGGTGAAAGGAACTCTATGGAGATTCATTAAAATGCAAAATACTAAAAAGGCATCTAAGAGACCATTAAATTGTACTGCTGTCTAGTTTCTATTAATGCTAATAGTTAAATAAACTGATAAGTTAGGGAGTAGGTTATTAAATATTCACATGTGAGCTGCATGCAGCACATTTGTTTTGAGCCTAGCACACATAATAGGAGTTGGATTAATATGGTAAGTTAATTAGTGAATAAGAGATTCCTTTTATACAAATATTCATGAAATTGAAATAACCAACTGTGAGATGTCTTTAATCAGGATATATTAAAATTATTACAAAGTAAATGTATTTAACCAATTATTGCTAAATGATGATAATTCTAACATATGACATCTAACAAGTTATAACTGAGAGTCACAAATACATACATTTATTTATTTCAAAACCATACGTTTATTTATTCTTCACTAGACTCTCAAGGGGTAGAAATTATCATGTATAATTTTCAAATGAGAAAATTGAGAGGCTGCTTGAATACTCTTAAATCATACTGGTTTGCCAAAAGAATTTATTAATAGAAATAAAAATAAAATATCAACAACCTATTAAACTGATAAATATACATGTTTAAAGATGGAAAGCTGCACAGTTAAGTCATAACACTGTAAAAGTAAATATAGAAAAAATAAAGTACCTCTCAATTACTTAGAACTTACTGACCTACTATGGGAGAATTACTGAATCACTGAAAATTACCACCTTGGATTAATGTTTCATTATCTAGCCAATCTATATCCTGAAATTTCCTCAACTTGTTTACCTAGTTTCGATATTCCTGGAGAATTCAAACAGAAATCTAAACAAACCATAATTATGCAAATTAACATGCTATGTTAAAATCCTACCACATAGTGGATTAGAATCAGAGACATCAGCATGAACTTAATATGTATACAAATAGACGGACATAGGAACAATTATAGATACGTTTATATTTATGACTTAGTATACATACATATATTATCCAGAGGGCCTAGAAGCAGTGACACCAGCAATAAACAGACCCAGCTTATTTGGTTTCTAAATACATTATCCAAAACGAACGAGGGCTCCTTGGAGAAACAGCTGATTCCAGGGATGGGGCAGGGGCAAAACAAGATGATCCTGAGTCATCTGGTAGTACCAGAAAAAAAGAAGTGTTCCAAAAACAAAAGATGGGGACATGTCAAAAAGACACAGGAGACTTCCTGAAAGAGCTCCCAATGGCCAAAGTTGGAACAATTTGTGAAATAAATAATGTAGCACTGGCTTATAACCCAAAGTATAAAATAAATATACATGAGATGACAGTGATAAATGATTGAATTAAATAAATGGAAGAAGGGACAAATCTTTCTTATGGAAGAACTTCAAAAACCATATGTAGGTAACCCCTGCTCCCAGAGATGGAACTTAATTCCACCCCCATTCTCACTCTTGCCAGTGTGCTAGATTTAGTGATTTGTGACCAAATTTTCTAGTGGAGAATCCTGGCAAACATTACTTTAACCACGGTTAACATTTCCAGAGGTATCATGTGGATATCATGTACCCCTGAGACAATGTGATGTCAGAATAGCACCTGTGTTCCTCTTTCCAGAAACCCTTAATCCCAGTCTAATTATCAGAAAACATCAGACAAATTCAGACTGGGAGGAGAAGCCTCTCTACAGGATACCTGGCCAGTGCCCATGTACACTTTCACAGTTAAGAAAAACAGCAGAAGACTGGGAAACTGTCCCAGAACTGAGAAGACTGGGAGACATAACTAAATGCAATGTGGTACATCTTGTATGGGGCCCATGAACAGAAGGAAAACATCAGTAGAAAAATGGAGAAATCCAAAGAGTCTCAAATTTAGTTCAGAGTAATGTTCTAAAGTCAGCCCTTGAGTTGTAACAAACATACCATAGTAACACAAGATGTTAACAATAGGGAAAACCAAATGAAGGGGGTACAGAAACTCTCCGTATTGTTTGTAACTTTTTAATAATCAAAATTATCCCAAAATAGAAAGTTTATTTTTAAAAAGATAAAGAAAGAAAATATGGTAGTTACCCACTATGTTGATTTTATAATCTACTGAAACAGTGTAAACAGAAGTTTGAAGACTGCTTTAGAAAACCTATGACTCTGGCAAAAATTATCAGAAATGTTTAGCAGTCTGTAAGTGATTTTGTTGAAAAACAGTATTTCAGAAAACTATGTTATTAATGGGAAATATTAAAAAAAAAAAAAAAACAGGTAAGTTCTAAAATGCAACTACCATCTGTAATTATTCCAATAGGGAAATCTCCATCCCTACATTAATCCCCTTGAGAACTAAATTTCTACAACTGATTTTGTAAAAGACTAAAAAAAGTAAAGGAAGGAGATTTTTAAGTATGATGAATTAGTCCTGTTCCCAACCTACAAAATTATTGGCTAAGTGAAAGAAGATAAAAGAACTCAAGAGAAAACAAAAAATGCAATTCTAAACTTACCTGATAGGAATCTCATCATCACTACTCATGTGTAGCAATCGCTCTTGTAGACGCCTCTCTTCACTACGAAGTTGTTTTCTCATTTCTGACAATTCCATAATTACATTTTTTTTCTCCTCTGTAAATTCCCATTGATAAGTAAAACACAAGACAGGAATAAGAACAAAAGATTAAACACTACAACACGAAAAACCTGACTAATAATAAAGCAAAACTTCTCAGAGAGAAAATTTTATGAAAGATATTTTAACATTTTATATATACGCACATACACAGATCATAATGTCATTAGGACCCACAAGTACATTTTTTATAATACAAGAATTTTAGAAGCGATATTCTTGGGGGAGCGCAACTATAAACAAGAGGCACAAGGGAGTTCCTTTGTGATGATGGAACAATTATGTATCTTGATTGTAGTGGTGGTCGCACAAATTGTGCATGATAAAAATGTACAGAAATATGCATACATAAATGCACGTAAAAACTGGTGGAATCTAATGGTCTGTAGAGCACACCAATGTCTACTTCCTGGCTGTGATATTGTACTACATGAGATGTTACCTCAGGGGAAAGTTGGGGAAAAGGTACACAGCACCTCTCTATACTGTTTCTGCAATTTTCTATGAGTTTATAATTATTTCAAAACGAAAAGCTAAATAAAGAAATACTCTCAGTAACAGGTTTAGTAGTTAACTCTACCTTCTGCACGGAGCTGATTTTTCCTGGCAGGTACCGGGGGTGACTGCGCCCTGGACATGGAACTTTCCTGTTTAACAATAATGACAAAGACCTGCTCAGTATGTCTTCTCTACGCAGAAGCTTGAAGGGAGTAATTTTTTCCAAGTATTTGTATGTACAGAAAACCAAACTCCACATTATCCCTACCTCTAAAACTTACCCACCTGTATAGCTATTCTTCCTTCTCATCACAATGGAAGTGTCCTTACCTCTACCCAAAGAGGAACCCTTCATCTCTACTCTGTATCTTGTAACTGTCTCCTACCCTCCTCCAATAATTCTTTTGCCAACTTCCTCTCTCCAAGCACCTTTCTCTCAATCTGTGTAAAAACCTTTCCATTCCTTAAAAAAAAAATTTTACCTCACCCTTCATTGCTCACTGTCTCCTGTCCATTCTGTCCTTCCCTTCACAGCTGAGCTTTGTTGAAGAATAGTAAAATGCAGTACTTTTGGGGTCGACTGCCTATTCTCATTCACTTCTCAACACACAGCTATGGCCTTTGCTTTCACATGCATCACTCCAACAATATTTCCTTCACGAAAGTCATGAAGTGATTCCAAGTGACACATTCAGTGGGCATTTTACTTGGCCAGTCACAACTGCTATCACTGCCATTGTCTCTCACCCTCTCTCCGTTCCTTCCTCTGCTTCGAGAATGTTGGTAATTCCCTAGTATTCTATTCTCAGCCTCCTTTACTTCTCTTCTAGACACTGATCCTAGATGATGGTACTAATTTAACAAACACCAATATGTTGATGGTGTACAGGACTACAAATTAAGTCCAGAACTCTTTCTGCAGCCACAATTCATATTTTCAACTGCCTACTCTATATAACCCTCACCAAAAACTTGAAAGTTATCATAGACTCCTACCCACCACACAGTCAACAAATAGTACTATTATGTCTCTCAAATGTATCGTAAAGCTGTCACACCTTCTCAGTTCTTGGTGCCACTGCCTTTCTTTGGGTCCTCAGTCTCACATCTGGATTTCTGCAAAAGCATTCTATCTCCATGTTTAGTCCTGCCCCACCTCCAAAACTTACCTCCACACCATTTCCTGAAAAAACATTATATAAAAGTGACCATGTCATTTCCCTACTTAAAACATTACAGCGAATTCCCATGCATTATCTATCACAGACCTACTAAATCAGAATCTCAAAGGGTGGAATTAAGAAACATGTTCTTCTGACATATTTCTTTGCCTATCCTAGTGATTAGCCTTCCTGGAATCCACCAGCCTATGTAACAAAATCAAAGCTCTTAGCACTCCATACAACATGCCACATATGTTCTGACCTCCACCTCCTCTGCTGCCTTAATGCACAGGCATCATCAGGCCAGACCACACCATAGAAGATTCTCCGCATGTGCCATGAGCTTACACTGCTCTCCATGACTCTGCACAAGCTGAAAATCCCTCACCCTCCTTTTCAAGGCAAATTCCTGCATATTCTTCAAGCATCAACTTGAGGATCAATCTTAGAACATTTTCCCTGTTCTCTTTTCCTTAGAGCTCAGTCTAAAGTATAACAGGCTTCATGAGCATATCTATAGCTAGAGGCCTGGACAAGAATCATTTGCTAAATTATAGTTTGTCGAAACAAACTTCAGGGTATCAAGTACTGTCAGTTACAATCGAAGCAGCAGGCAAATTACTGTAGGTATCACCTGTATTTCAGATCTGAAAATATTTAACCTTCCCAAATATGATGAAAAAGAAAATTTCATTTGATCACCCAATCCAAAATAACTGAGCTAGGATTAACAAATGAAAACTAAAGTACATACACGAATAAAGGAACTTATTATGCTGTCAATTGAAGGAGGTCTTTGGAGTCTGCTTGCAATTTTGTTCTGAAGAGCAGGAACTACAGGAGAAGGCTGCCTCAAGCACTAAAAAATTTAAAAAAATTTAAGAGCATATTTGCTTCATCATACTCACACAGATATACACACATGCCCCTTATAGTTAATAAAGCGATCTAAGAAGTTTAGACTGTTATTGCTTTTATTTCATAAAATACTTGTTAGAAAAGTCAGAAATTCAGTTACATAAGATCAAACATGTTGGTTACGATAAACATAAATGGATTTAGACATCTTTATTAAAACGGTATGACTGTCAAATTAGGATTAAAAAAATCAACAAACTCAAGTAAAACAACATAAAAGAAAAGACGTAACAAAAGTAAAGAATCATCTTAATAAAAAGGTACCATGACAATACAAAAAATCAAAGAAAAAATTCCTCTTCTGGAAAACAATACAAATCAATCTCTAAAATCTATTAGTCACTAACAGCATCATGGATGACAGATCCTTCAAGATCACAATGGGGTTCTATATTTTAGTTGATAGTGTATTAAAACTTATGTTCCTCAACTTCACATAAAAATCAAAACACCGAAGACATTAAAAAGTCTTAGCCAGGCATGGTGGCTCATGCCTGTAATCCCAGCACTTTGGGAGGCCAAGGCCGGCCTATCACTTGAGGTCAGGAGTTGGAGACCAGCCTGCCCAACATGGCAAAACCCCATCTCTACTAAAGACAGAAAAAAATTAGCCAGGCATTCTGGCATGTGTCTATAATCCCAGCTACTCGGGAGGCTAACACAGGAGGATCGCCTGAACCCAGGAGGCTCGGAGGTTGCAGTGAGCCAAGATCATGCCATTGCACTCCAGCCTGGGCAACAAGGCGAGACTCCATCTTAAAAAAAAAAAAAAAAAAAAAAAGTCCTAACAAAATGATAATAGTTATCGGCATTTAAAAGGAAAAAAACTCAGACCAAAATGTATATGTGGATGTTAAATTCTTCATTTTATATAGGAGAAAATCAGTTAATTTTAATAAAATTAGAAATATATGACAGAAAGGTATCCACAAGCAAAATTATAAAGACAACATAGACCTTCTAAAGCACTGTAGAGAATGGAGCAAACAAGTCATAGTCCACATAACAAATGACCAAAAAGCTATCAAGGATGAAAAACACAAAAAAGTCAGAAATGCAATTAATGCAATCAAAGACACTAGTTTTGATAAACATAAATGAATTTAGATATCCTTATTTTAAAAGATAGGCTGGGTGCAGTGGCTCATGTCTACAATACCAGCACTATGGGAGGCCAAGGCAGGCAGATCACCTGAGTTCAGAAGTTCAAGACCAGCCTGGCCAACATGGTAAAACCCTGTCTTTACTAAAAATGCAAAAATTAGCTGGGTGTGGTGGTATGTACCTATAATCCCAGCTACTGGGGAGGTTGAGGCAGGAGAATTGCTTGAATCCAGAAGGCAGATGTTGCAGTGAGCCAAGATCATCCCACTGCATGCCTGCCTGGGCGACAGAGTGAGACTCCGTCTCTAAATAAATAAATAAATAAATGAAAACAAAAAGATAACTCAGATTAGAATTTTAAAAATTCAACAAACTAAAGAAAGATACAACCTAATTAAATTAAAAAATCTAGTGACACAAAGGTAAAACTGAATAGACAGAAATATATATCAGACATATATAAATGAAAAAAATGATAGCAATGTTAATTTCAGAAAGGCAAATGCATTAAATGAGATAAAGCCAATTTAAAATTTTATGGTACTTTACTATTACATTCATAAAAGTATATATTACTAAAAAAATAGCATTTTTTTTTTTTTCTTTTTGAGACAGAGTCTCCCTCTGTCATCCAGGCTAGATCGCTGTGTTGCAATCATGGCTCACTGCAACCTTTGCCTCCCAAGTTCAAGTGATTTTTCTGCCTTAGCCTCCTGAGTAGCTGGGACTACAGGGGCTACTAATTTTTGTATTTGTTAGTAGAGACCATGCCCAACTAATTTTTGTATTTGTTAGTAGAGACGGGGTTTCACCATGTTGCCCAGGCTTGTCTCAAACTGCTGGCCTCAAGTGATCTGCCCAACTCGGTCTCCCAGAGTGCTGGGATTACAGGTGTGAGCCACCTCGCTAAGCCTCTTTCATTCTTAAATGATGAATTTTACAATAAAAAATTCTCTGTGAGGCAGGAAGTGGTGGCTCATGCCTGATGCAGGAGGATCACCTGAGCCCAAGAATTTGAGATCTGCCTGGGCAACACAGCAAGACCTGGTCTCTCAAAAAAAAAGAAAAGAAAAAGAAAGAAAGGAAAGGAAAAGAAAGAAAGAGAAGGGAAGGAAAGGAAAGGGAAAAGGGAAAAGGAAAGAAGAAAGAAAGAAGGCCGGGTGTGGTGGCTCATGCCTGTAATCTCAGCACTTTGAGGGGCTGAGGTGGACAGATCACCTGAGGTCAGTTTGAGACCAGTCTGGACAACATGGTGAAATCTGTCTCTACTAAAAATACAAAAAATTAGCCAGGCATGATGGCACACGTCTGTAGTCCCAGCTACTAGGGAGGCTGAGGCAGGAGAATTGCTTGAACCCAAGAGGTGAAGGTTGCAGTGAGCCAAAACTGTGCCACTGCACTCCAGCCTGGGCAACAGAATGAGACTCCATTTAACCAAAAAGAAAAGAAAGAAAAAAAAAATTTTTTTTTAAACTCTCAATTTCTGTATTTAGTCTTGCTGTGAACCATAATAAACAGTTCATGTTGCACTGGTCTGCAGACCATATTTTTGGGTGACACTGCATATACCAAAGGAACAAGACTAAGAATGGCTGAGGCAAGTAAATCCATTACCTTCAATGGACAGAACATACCAACAAAGCACAGTGACAGTACCTCATTGTGCCCAGACTAAACAGTAAGACAGAATAGGAACAAAAGAACCTCTTTCTCTTTTTCCCTTTTTCTAACAACTACACAACTCTCACAGCAAAAGTGGGTTAAACTATGGGTTTGATCGACATTTTTGTCTCAAACTTACGTTTGTTTCTTCCCCAATCAAATTTTCTCTTTCATAGTAGTGCTGAAGCTGCAGGTTATATTTTTCTTCTTCTTCTTTCTTGTTTCTTTCTGCTTCTTTTCGTCTTTCTTCAGCTAACCGAATATGTTCTTCATTTTTTAGCCTTTGCTTCAAAATAAATAGAAAAAGAGGCACTCCATATATACCTTCTATACAGCACATTCAAAAATGCGCTGCCTTATCTGATAAAATAAGATAAAGATATAGATGACGTGATACGGTTCTTTAACATAGAGAAGTTATCTGCTTAAAAATAAAGTATTAGGTATCTTTTATAAAGTCTTCAGGCAGCCTATAACTATTTTTTTAAAGTCATCATTTATCTCCTTTCTTTCTTTTTTTTTTTGAGACGGAGTTTCGCTCTTGTTACCCAGGCTGGAGTGCAATGGCGCGATCTCGGCTCACCGCAACCTCCGCCTCCTGGGTTCAGGCAATTCTCCTGCCTCAGCCTCCTGAGTAGCTGGGATTACAGGCACGCGCCACCATGCCCAGCTAATTTTTTGTATTTTTAGTAGAGACGGGGTTTCACCATGTTGACCAGGATGGTCTCGATCTCTTGACCTCAGTGATCCGCCCGCCTCGGCCTCCCAAAGTGCTGGGATTACAGGCTTGAGCCACCGCGCCCGGCCCTCCTTTCTTAAATTACTTTCACCTTAATGAAATAATATCCAATGAATGGATATTGATCTGATATTTTCCTAAATGTACTCCAACACTGTTCTCTTTCATAAGTAACAAATATCTTTTCAAGTCAAAATAAAGACTTAACCTTCAGACTGAGCAGTAAAAGAGAGTTGGGAAAAAACATGTACCTCCTCCTCTTTCTCCCTTTTCTTTTCCTGTTCCTCTTCATACTCCTGCTGAATCCGTGCCCTCTGTTCTGCAAGCCGTCTTTCTTCTTTTTCTTCTGCAATTCTCAGTCTCTCTCGCTCTGCTTCCTCTCTTTGTTTCTTTTCCTCAATCTAAAGAATTAAACCTTGTTATTTATGCTGTAAAACTAGTGAAAAGTTAGAATATCACTTATTTTTTCCTAACAGCATATAACCTCAACATTTGTACCCTCTTTTTGCATGTTCCTAAATTTTTCAGTCTCCTGTATTTTTAGGAAGGCTACATAGTTTACTGCACTGTTAAAAGCTTTAAGTTAAATTTCAATTCCAACAAACAGACTGTGTGACCTTAAGAAACTTGCTTGTTCTTAGTTTTCTCTTTTTTCTGGTAAACAGTTATTAACGCCTACATCTCAAAGGAGTGCTCAAAGAATTAAAGTGAAACAATGTAAGGAACATAAATGTTCCTCCTATATAGAAGGTTCTAAGCAAATAATTCATGATTGTATTATTTTATAGTGATTGCTGCCATTATATGTCAAAATTCTTGCACTTTATTATTATTCTAAAGTAACAGTGAAATTAATATTCACTGTATCCAATCATTTTTAATGCAAGAACCACTTCTCCCAAATGCCCTTTGTTCTTTTCTATCTATAGAGGTTCATGGAGAAAGAACTAAAACTATTACGTGTAGGATGATTTAGGTCACAAGGCCTCATAATTAAGTTTCATCTTGAATGTCACCTGGAGTCTATAGTGTTCAGTACTCTAAGGGAAATATTCTAAGACAGAGCCTAAGATTTGAAGGAAAGAGGAGCCCTAAGAGTCCACACCCCCGATGAGTGAGGCAGGAAAGAACGGCAGCATAGGAAATAGGTATTCATGTCTCTGAAGTTGTCAACAGATTTTAGTTATCCTTAGGTATGGATCATACTATTCATCATACTTTTTTCTTGTCTGTACTTCCTCTAGCTTCAACGTTGCTCTATCTAGTGTTCTTAATTTTTGAGCTATAAGAACTTTAATCTGGCCAGGTGTGGTGGCTCACACCTGTAGTATCAGCTCTTTGAAAGGCTGAGGCAGGCAGATCACCTGAGGTCAAGAGTTCAAAACCAGCCTGGCCAACATGGTGAAATCCCATCTCTACTAAAAATACAAAAATTAGCTGGGCATGGTGGTGCATGCCTATAATCCCAACTACTCAGGAGGCCGAGACAGGAGAATCACTCAAACCCAGAGCAGAGGTTGCTGTGAGCCGAGATCATGCCACTGCACTCCAGCCTGGGTGACAGAGTGAGATTCTGTCTCAAAAAAAAAAAAAAAGAACTTTAATCTTCTAACACATCCCGTGATTTTATATACTAGGGCTTTTCCAACACTTCTTTCTCACAACACTATTAAATATGCACAAGCCTAATTAGTACTTTTAGTCAGCAATTTGCGTGCTATCACTTCTTCAAGTCCAACATGACTAAAAAAAAATTTGTAATTCAACAAAATTTCATATTCAATATTCAGTTCCCCCTTCTTTCTACTCCATGAAAAAAAAATTATATTCACAGGGTCATTTCTCCATCAAAATCAAAGAATATCAACTTGTAAACTATTAATAGATCATATACTTAATGGATCCAAAGCTCAGTGCCAGCAGGAATGCTAGACAGCAGTTCAACAGCTTTCTGGTCTGGAAAGCAGGGAAAACTATCTTCTTGTCATGGTTTTCTAATTATATAACACAAAAATGCTTCAGAGTTCTTAAAAATATTTAATTTGTTAATTACTTTTAAAGCTGTCGTTAAAAATGTCAAACATTCACAAATGTTATTAATATTTACCAAAGTTTAACAGCATAAAGACTTTTGATGCATTAACTTAAGCTAATCGTAAAACTTACTTGTGTAGACCTCAGGCTAAAGCTTTTCTTAACATCTTTGTGCACAGATTTGAGCATTTCATAACATTTGTTTTAATAAAAGTTTTGGATATGTTTTATCTGACATTGTATTGTTGACAGTAGTAATAAATACCATTGGTCTACTTTATATTTTCTTAGAATTACATGTTAGGTTTTGTTTGAAGTGGGGGAAGAGATTTTTAAAAGGTTGGATAAAAGAAAAAGTTTAAAACCATCATCTGAAAGCCATCTATTCACTGATAAATTGAGGGTTGACAGACTGGAAGAACTGAAGGCTGCAACTAAAATAGTTAAAGCTTACCCCATTACCATAGTTTTTCTAGAGGTAAAGACTTTCTAGTGAATCCTATAAACAGAAGGGTAGTATCTATAGATATTATACTTGAAGTCTGGAGACTTGGGTTCAAGCAATGGCCTCACAATTTGCTAGCTCTGACACCCTGGGCAAGCCTGCTAGTCCAAGTATTGGTTGTATGTCATTAAATAGAGATAATAAAACCTTCTTCAGAGAAATTTGAGGTTGGTTGAGATACTATATGTAAAAGTATCTTACAAACAATAAAAGCCTATATAGTTTTTTTGGCTGAATTCTACCTTAGACCATGGTAAGAATTGCTAAGCATTAGAGGTACTTAAATTTTGACGAATTGTCATGATCAATATACCACAGAGTCCTTTATGTTCAACAGAGACTCCAAACCTTCAACTTGCTGCTACCAGACTTGAGCTCACAATATTGGGACCTGTGATGCCAATATCTTACATTCAACATTTATGTCATTTCTGTTGAACCTTTAAAATGCCTTTCGACCTATTTCCACTGTCATCCACTTTAGTAAAATATCCCTGCTTCCAGTCTTTGCAATCCTCTATTTAATTATATCTGAAACAGTGATGTCACATCAATCATCCTTTTTTTCACTCTGTTGCTCAAGTAGGATAAAGTGGCGTATCTTGGTTGACTGCAACCTATGCCTCTTGGGCACAAGCGATCCATCCACCTAAGCCACCTAAATAGCTGGGGATACAGGCATATACTACCATGTCCGGCTAATTTTTTGTAGAAATGGGGTTTCACCATGTTGCCGAGGCTAGTCTCAAACTCCTGAGCTCAACCGACCTGCCCACCTTGGCCTCCTAAAGTACTTCAATTACAGGTGCTAGCCACTACACCCAGCCTAATATCAATCATCCTTAAAGGCTATATCCATTATGTCACTGCCTTATTTAAGAGTCAACAAGAATTAGGATTAAAAAGAAGGTATGTTTGCGGGCATCTACTTAAGAGTTTGGGGTTAGAGGGTGGGGCGTGGTGGCTCATGCCTGTAATCCCAGCACTTCGGGAGGCCGAGGCAGGTGGATCACGAGGTCAAGAGATCGAGACCATCCTGGCCAACATGGTGAAACCCAATCTCTACTACAAATACAAAAATGAGCTGGGCGTGGTGGTGCGCACCTGTAGTCCCAGCTACTTGGGAAGCTGAGGCAGGAGAACTGCTTGAACCTAGGAGGCAGAGGTTGCAGTGAGCTGAGATCGTGTGGCAGAGCAAGACTCCATCTCAAAAAAAAAAAAAAGTTTGAGGTTAGATTAGATAGCCTTTAATGTCAGGCTAAAGAGTTGAGATAATTTCTGTAGGCAAAGAAAACCTACCACCATATTTTGAGTAAAGAACAACAGCATGTGAAAAGTTCTATCAAAGGAAAATTAACCAGGCCATAAGATTAATCTAAAACTGAGATCTAAGTGTGGGTATGAAAGGGAGGGAAGTAAAGAAAAAAGAAACTGTGAGTCCCTCATGGGCAAGTATTTCACATTCATCTCAGGCTCCATCTCTAGGACTCAGCCCAAGGTGCACCCAGTATGGGAGTAGGTCTGTTTGCTTCATAAACAATGGATATTTAAGTGTCTTTCTCTGGAAATAGTTTGGACATTTCTACTATGTTAAATGCTATTTACTTATATATATGGGGCAAATAATTATAAACTGTGATTATCTTAAATCCAATTTTTATTTACAATCTGCAATAAGAATATCAAATCATTTAGAAAAAATCAACTTATAAATATCTAGAAAGATACATTCTCTGCCTAACAGATGAATATTTTAGTAAGTCAGTTTTTTAAATCTCAGCATTCTTTGATTTAAAATTAATTTAGGTTGCACATGGTGGCTCACACCTGTAATCCCAGCACTTTGGGAGACCCAAGGCAGGTGGATCACATGAGGTCAGTAGTTCAAGACCAGCCTGGCCAACATGGTGAAATCCTGTGTCTACTAAAAATACAAAAATTAGCCTGGCATGGTGTTGCACACCTGCAGTACCAGCTACTCAGGAGGCTGAGGCAGGAGAATCACTTAAAGCCAGGTGGTGGAGGTTGCAGTGAGCCAAGGTCACACCACTACACCCCAGCCTGGGTGGCAGAGCAAGACTCCATCTCAAAAAAATAAAATAATTTAAGATTTAATGAAGTATAAAAAAGATTAAGTCAACTACTACACTTAATACATCTGCTTATTTCCTTAAAATAAGGAAATGAGCCAGGTGCAGTGGCTCACGCCTGTAATCCCAGCACTTCGGGAGGCTGAAGCGGGTAGATCACAAGGTCAAGAGATTGAGAACTTCCTGGTCAACATGGTGAAACCTCATCTCTACTAAAAATACAAAAATTCGCTGGATGTGGCAAGCGAGCACCTGTAGTCCCAGCTACTCGGGAGGCTGAGGCAGAAGAATAGCCTGAACCTGGGAGGCGGAGGTTGCAATGAGTCAAGATCGTGCCATTGCACTCCAGCCTAGGCAACAAGAGTGAAACTCTATCTCGGGGAAAAAAAAAAGGAAATGAAATAATTTTTATACCACTGATATCTGATCTGATATCAATTAGATATTTTAGATAACAACATTGCATTTTAGAATTTAGTATTTACCCTGGGGAGAAAATCTTTGCAATTTTTATTAAAATCTTATGAAACTTTAAAACTGATCAAATAAGCATTTCACCTGAAAACGAAGAAAATTCTTGTATAATTCTTGCTGTTTAATCTGAAGTTCAGTTGGAGGCTCACCAAATACATTTCCCCGAGCAAAAGGAGAGCTCTGTGTTTGCATCTGACCTTAAAAAAGATATTTTGCAAAAACATGCTATTAGCCAATGCTTAGAAAATGTAACAGTTAAAGAATTAACAGTTTGCTAATAAATTCATTTAAAAAGTCCAGAGATTAAAATCAGAAGAGAATGGCTGAAATTAGAATCTGAAGAGCAGATGAAAAGTAGTAAGAGAAAGAAAAATGGTAATACTAAAATAAAATTAACAGTTAAAACAATCAAGTAATACCTGAAAGGCACAAAGGAAACATAAAAGCTAACAGCCTAAATAACTCTCATTGCAGCAAAGGTTTTAAAATAGAATTTATGGAGAGACAAAAAGTACATATTACATTGTTCAGTATGTGAATATCCTTAAGAATATTGCTTGATAACATATTAAAATGTATTATGTAACATTTAAAATTTTCTAAAATTGTTTTTAAAAATAAGTAATTTCAAAATTCTTCCCAATAGTTTAAATGACAGAACAGTCAGCTTTGAAAAACATATTTAACAAATTAGAATGTGTCTTAGTTATTGTAAGTTTTTATTTTTAAAACTATCGAATTAATGAACAAAAATTTTTTATCTATTACCTATAAATAGTATTGTATTTTCTTCAAATGAAAAAAATTTCATATAAGCAATTCAAAAAACAACTATACCCTTAGAGTCTCTTTGAATGCAGACAGGAAAAAAATGACATTTAAATTTAAACCTCACATAACTTTTTATATTGTTTTAGAGTTTCCAATTCATTCTTCATACCATTAAACTAAAGCATGTATTTCTTGTTTTGGAGACGGAGTCTTGCTCTGTCACCCAGGCTGGAGTGCAGTGGCACAATTGCTGCTTACTGCAACCTCTACCTCCCTAGTTCAAGCGATTCTCCTTGCTTCAGCCCCCCGACTAACTGGCACTACAGGCATGCGCCACCATGCCAGGCTAACTTTTATTGTATTTTTAGTAGGAATGGGGTTTTGCCATGTTGGCCAGGCTGGTCTCTAACATCTGACCTCAGACGATCCGCCTACCACGGCCTCCCAAATTGCTGGGATTACAGGAGTGAGCCACCTCACCCGGCCTTCAATGTAGTTTTGTATAGGCAAACTGCTTTGCGGTTCAACTGCTACTCAGATGTATTTTGCCTTTGTATTTAAATTTATTAATGTTTATTTGAACAGACTGGCAGAAAGCCAAATTAATGAACATTATGAATACTTTTTTCCACCCGAAAATTTTCCTACTGAAAACAAACTAAATATACACCTTGAAGGGTCTTTTAAATTCTATGCTGTAAGCTAATAGAAAAACAAAATTGAGTAGTATGTTTCACCATGATGCTCACTCCTATTCTAAACCTCTGAGGCAATTAGAGAAGACATATTATTGCAGAAAGACAGAGAGAAGTCCTTTTAGAAATGAATAAACTATAGAAGCAAAACCATAGGTAAATACTTGCTATATACAAAGAAAGCAGAAATGTAACTTGGCATGATAATAGACCAAAAAAATAATTTAAGCCAAATTCATGTTAAGACTTCATAAGCCACAGCTCATCTAAAAACCATAAAGTAAAAGAAAAAAATAATGAACATTATAAAGGGCATCAGAAACCAACCTAATGAAGATGAAACATTAGAGAATAAGGAAACTTAAACACGTTTTAATATTCAATATTCAGGTATATTCAAGTTCCTTCAGGCTTTTAAAATATCAAATGCGACATATATGCAAAGATACATGTGTCTGTGTGTACATACATAAACATACCTTCATACACACATATAATGGCATAGCACAAAATTAGGTGGCTTTGAATCATTTCTTGCATTGAGAAAGTTTATTTTAGATGAATTTTTTTTTTTTTTTTTTTTTTTTGAGACCAAGTCTCGCTCTGTCACCAGGCTGGAGTGCAGTGGCGTGATCACAGTTCACTGCAACCTCCAATTCCCAGATTCAAGCGATGCTCCTACCTCAGCCTCCCAAGCTGGGATTAAAGGCTTGTGTCACCACGCCCTGCTAATTTTTTTATTTTTAGTAGAGGTAAGGTTTCACCATGTTGACCAGGATGGTCTCAGTCTCCTGACCTCATGATCCACCCACCTCGGTCTCCCAAAGTGCTGAGATTACAGGTGTGAGCCACCGCACCCAGCCAATTAATTCTTAGGAAGAAAAGTCTAATTTAAGGAATTCCAATTCACAAAAAAAAAGAGACGTTTTAAACATTTTATGATTTTTTTAATTACTTCTTAAAATAGAACATTCTGGCAATAATGCCAGCATAAAAATCTGGCAGTGGTACAGAAAGGCTATAGGCACCAATTTTGCTCTGCATGTTTAATCATCAGGCTTATGCATTTGGGAAGGGGTCATGGAAACCGTTGATTTTCCGGTGTTTTTGCTTGGTGAGCAAGCTAAATGGCTAAAAAGTGTTATTACTAAGATAAAGAAAGTTCTAGGCTGAGCCAGAGAACTACAAACAATACCAGGTATGGAAGAAAGGGGTAGAACAAGACTATATGGCACTGAAATCTCAATACAAACTACTAGAAGCAGCAGCAAATGACAAAAACAATGATAATCAGAAAGAAGTCAAAATTCTCTCTTAGCAGCAATATGAAAAGGTGCTTTGATGTTTTTACTATACATTATTACAAATTAAAAGACCCAAATCAGTAAGTTTGTCAAAATCAAAGGTTCCAATTTTAGTGCTCTAAACATCAAAACTGGATCTAATGGGTAAAAACCTATCGTAGAACACAGAAAGCATTTTCTCGTAATTAGAAAACACTGGAACAAGCTGCCCATGAAAACAGTAAATGATCCATCTCTTGCTAAGTGTTCAAAAAGGCTACAGATAATGTGTGCTGCCATCAAAGCCTTGAAAGATGCAGGGCTACAACTCTGATCACATCTCCCCATTTCACTTATCTGTTAAGCCAAAAATAAAGGTTAAAAACAAAAAAAGACTGCATGGTCAGAAACATTTTAGAACTTCCTAATGAAAAGTTCTTTTCTAGTCTAAAATCAAAACTTCTGTGAAAGTACAAAGTAGAATTTTGTAAAGAATAAATGGCCAGTTGTAAAGGCATCAAAATATAGTGCAAGGTGGTGTATTATTTAAATTTCCTTTATTTATTTATTTTTTTGAGACAGAGTCTTGCTCTGTCGCCAGGTGCCAAGTGCAGTGGCTCAATCTTGGCTCACTGAAACCTCTGCCTCCTGGGTTCAAGCCTCCCGAGTAGCTGGGACTACAGGCACATGCCACCATACTCAGCTAATTTTTGTATTTTAGTAAAGATGGGGTTTCACTATGTTGGCCAGGATGGTCTTGATCTCTTGACTTCATGATCTGCCCACCTTGGCCTCCCAAAGTGCTGGGATTACAGGCGTGAGCCACCTCGCTTGGCCTATTTTTAAATATATAACACACTTTAATATATACTTGACAACTTTTCCTGGTATGTCATAAAAAAGATACTGAATAATTTTCATCTTACAGAATTTTTGAATAAAGGATATTAATAGTAAATCAAAGATAAGTAGTTAAGAGGCACGTAACCTGGTATTAAATTGAACTTTTAATTGCTTCACTTCTTTGTACACTGTTGTTTTACAAGGGAGGGTAAATAATTACTAAACAAACAAAAAATGAATTTCCCTGTATAATTTATCATAACTGATAATTTTTCACTAATTCAAACCCCTATTGGTATAAGATGCAAATTGTGTAGGTGTGTAAAAGTGTTTGATTTTAAGAAATATCCCCCAGCAAAACAAAAACTTAGCAGCAGCTAAAGGATACATAGCAAGCTATAAAGCTGAGAAGAAACAAGAGTAGTAAAAAACAACCTTTCCCTATTCACTATTTTTCAAAGTAACTATGAAGAAGAGGTATTTTATAAATAGTGTGTTATGCTTCCTGTATCAGAGTAGCCAAATTCTCAAGATCCCAATAAGAACTTAGTCAAAGAACAGAAATGTTACTGAACAATTTCAGAAATGTTAAAAAAAAAAAAAAAAAAAGTGATTAAAAACCTGAGCTTTTATTTGCAGCATCTTCTAGGTTCTCAGCATTTGAAGCGGCTAAATTTTGGTCTAGAGATACAACGGCCCTTTTATCTTCATGTGTTCTTGCATCTGGGTTATGGTAGGCATCTATATTTTGTCTGTGCATCCTATTCAAATCAGCTGAGAGGAAAAAATAATCCATTTATTTCAATAAACACATTTCTATAATTGGTATGCAAAATGTATTTTCTTAAAATAGGGAATCAGAAAGAAAAATAGGACAAAGTTGGGAATAATTCAATGATATGTTGGTGCCCTGAAAACAGAAACAAAATTATCAAAACTTTTAAGATTTTCAGAAAATAACTCTGTAAAATAATCTCAATTAGTAGAGAAATTAAGGATATATAAATCTTTAACAAAACATAAAAACCATATTAACGGTATCTATGTTACTTCGGAACTTACAATTTCTTTAATATAGGATATAGCAACAATTTAAAACAACTCATAGTGAAATTTACCCATCATCGGCCTCCGAAGGAAAACACAATCATGTGGAGTGGAATTTAAAAATATATCCAGAAATTACTTGGCAATCCTCCCCAAAGGGTAAAGCTCAATTCCATTCCTCTTCAGTGGTGTCCAGAGTTAATAACTCACTTCTTGTGACTAGATATTGCAGAAATAATGCTATATGACATCTGAGGCTACTTCATAAAAGAAATTATTTCCACCTTGCTTATCTATGGATCATTCGCTCTGAAGAAAGCCAACTGCCATAATAAGGACACTAAGGGAGCCATATGGAGAGGCCCATATGACAAGGAACTAAGGCTTCCTGAGCCACGTGAGGGAGCCATATTGGAAATTAATCTTCCAGTACTCATCAAGCCTCAGATCATTGCTGCCATGGTCAGTATCTTGAACTCCAACATTATGAGGGAGTATGAGACAGAACCACCCAGCTAAACCACTCATAAATTACTAACCCTCAGAACTGCAAGATAATAAATGTTTATCATGCTAAAACACCAAGTTTTGGGGTAATTCATTATGTAGCAATAGGTATCTAATAAACAGAGCAAAAGTCTGACCTAGAATTGTGTCAAACAACCAATCTCAGAAACAGAAATGAATGATTACAGAACTCAAAAGCTTTGAACAAAATAAAAAGTAGCTCTTTTCCACAAAACAAAAAAAACAAAAAACTGGAACAGTATGGCAGCACTGAAAGTGAACTTAAACCTGGATATAAGAAGTATTTACCAGGAAGCTTGTTATGTTCAAGAATGTATTTTGAACATGAATCACAATTAGAATTCCAGATAGAACAAAGCAAGTAATACGCAAATGTTACAAAAAAGAATCGGAGTACAGAATCGGGAAGGTTCACATTCTGTTACAACATTTAGGGCAGCTTAGACTTGTAAAATGAATAGGAGCTTCACAGATGAAAGTAAGTAGGAAAGCATAATAGAGAAATAAAACAATGTGTGAAAGTGTTCTAAGCAGGTAAGATATGAAGACTGTTCTGGCAACATTAAAATAGTCCAGTTAGACTAGAGCATAAAGCACATGTAATAGAGCAGTAACAAGACTGGAAACTGTAGAATGGATAACTATTCTGGAATATCCTAAAATACATGCCAATGGCTCTCTAATTTTGTTCTGTAGATGGCAATGGAGACAATTTTGGTTGTTACAGAAGTCAGATTAATATATTAGTCTGGCCGGGCACAGTGGCTCATGCCTATAATCGCAGCACTTTGGGAAGCCAAGGAGAGTGGATCACTTGAGCTCAGAGGTTCGAGACCAGCCTGGGCAACATGATGAAACCCCATATCTACTGAAAATACAAAAATTAGCTGGGCATGGTGGCATGCGCCTTTAGTCCCAGCTACTTGGAGGGTACTCTGTCCCAGAAAGGTGGGAGCTTTATTTTTAAGTCCCTGATTGGCTGCTGCCTTTCTTCAGAGTTGCTCTGCCCAGCGATGATATCTAGTAAAATTGTCTGCAGGTGCTCAGTTGACTGCAACCTCCACCTCCCAGTTCAAGTGATTCTCCTGCCCCAGCCTCCCGAGTAGCTGGGACTACAGGCATACACCACCTTACCCAGCTAATTTTTGTATTTTTAGTAGAGACAGGGTTTCAACATGTTGGCCAAGATGGTCTCGATCTCTTGACCCCATGATCCGCCCGCCTTGGCCTCCCAAAGTGCTGAGATTACAGGTGTGAGCCACTGTGCCCCGCCTTCACTAGTGAATGCTAAACACCAAAAAAACATTTCCCAGCTAGGCACATCTAAAATCAGAGACAAGACAAGGATGTCTGCTCTCATGAATTCTAAACACTGTCCTGGAGTTCCTAAATAATGCAAAACTCAATTAAAATAAATAGAAGGCATCAGATTGGAAAGGAAGAAGTAAAATTAACTACACTGACAGATGCTATGACTGCCCACATTAAAAATTCTCAGTACTTTGGGATGGGAAGATCACTTGAGCTTAGGAGTTCAAGACCAGGCTAGGCAACATAAACATAGTGAAACCCTATTTCTACCAAAAAAAAAAAAATTAGCCATGTGTCGTGGCACATATCTGTAGTCCCAATTACTCGGGAAGCTAAGGTGGAAGAACTGCCTCACCCCAGGAGGTTGAGGCTGCAGTGAGTCGTGATTACGCCACTGTACTCCAGCTTCTTTGACAGAGCAGGACTCTGTCTCAAAAAACAAAACAAAACAAAAAACATTTCCTAATTCATGTTATCAGGCCAGAATTACCCCGATACCAAAACCAGACAACATTATAAAAAATAAAAACCAGAATCTCTTGTGAGCCTAGACTCAAAAATCTCTGACAAAATACTAGCAAATCAAATTCTAACAAGAGGTATAAGAGACCATTAATAAAGCTTAGTTCACCCTAGGAATGCAAGATTGGTTGAACACTCAAAAATCAATGTAATTTACCATATGTCAGAAGGGTAAAGAGACCATATTATTATCTCAATAGATGCAGGAAAGCACCTAACAAAATTCAACATACACTCACGATGAAACCTCTAAGCAAATAAGGAATCGAACATCCTTAATGGGATAAAAGAAAAATCCAGTAAAAGCCTACAGCTAACTTAATGGTGAAAGACTGTTTTCCATCTAAATCAGAAACAAGACAAGGGTGTCTGCTCTCATGAATTCTAAACACTGTACTGGATTTCCTAAACAGTACAAAAGGCAATTAAATAGAAGGCATCAGATTGGAAAGAAGAAATAAAACCAACTCTGCTGACAGATGCTAGTGATTGCCTACATTAAAAAAAAAAAAAAATCAAACAATCTACAAAAAACTACTTAAACAAGTGAGCTTAGCAAGCACACAGACTACAGACAATATACAAAATTTACCTGTATTTCTAAAGACCATCAATGAACAAAAGAGCATTAAAATTTTTTTAATGTAACATTTTAAAGTAGCTTCAAATCACATGAAATATTTAGGGATACAATTAACAAAATATACACAAGATCTGCCACCAAAAACTACAAAATATTGCTGAGAGAAATTAACTAGAAGCAATCAATGGATGATATACACTGCCCATTCATGGATCAAGAGGCTCAACTGTATTAAGATGTTGGCTGTCCTAATACTGATCTACAGAGTCAATGCAATCCCAGTGAAAATCCCACCATGCGTGTTAACATTGACAAAGTAATAGTAAAATATGCAAAGAAGCTGAGTTGTCAAAACATCTTGAAAAAAGAACAAAACTGGGAAGACTCACACTTTTCAATTTCAAAACTTACTACAAAGCTACGTAATCAAGAGAATCAGATATGGGCAAAAGGATAGACATATGGAGCAATGGAACAGAGAGAAAGATTGAGACACAGAGAAACTGTCACAGATTGGAGGAGACTAAAGAGACATGAACTAAATGCATTACAGGATCCTGGATTAGAGCCTAAAATAGAATAAGGACATTAGGGGAAAAAAATGGTAAAATCTGAACAAGGTATCTAATTATTCACACTGTATCTAGGTTAATTTCTAGTTTTGATCATTGTGCCATGATTATCTAAGATGTTAACGTCAGGGGAAACAAAGTGAAAGATACTCTCTATTCCATCTTTGCAACTCTTCTAGGTCTTAATTTCACAATAGAAAGTTTTTTTGTTGTTTTTTTTTAATAAGGTATCACTGCACTTTCAATAAAATAAGTAAAATTTTAAAGATGCATCATTTCAAGTGCTGATGAAAATTCAGAGCAACTAAAAATCTCAAAACTTTTCTTGTTTGAATGCAAAATAACACAGCAAAATTGGAGAATGTTCTGGCAGTTTCTTAGAAAATTAAACACTATTCAACCCAGCAATTCTATTCCTAGGCACTTACTCAAAAAAAAAAAAAAAAATTTATGTTCACACAAACATCTGTAAGTGAATGTTTCTAACAGCTCTATTCATAACAGCCTTAAATTGTAAACAGTTCAAATAACCATCAAATGGTAAATGGATAAACAATTGTGGTACTTCCAGACAAAGCTGTACTATTCAGTAATAAAAATAAGCTACTGACATATGTAACAACATAGATGAATCTCAAAAACACTATGCTAAAAGACAAATGTCAGAAAAAAGGCAGTATTTTCATGCCAGAAAGGAGATCACAGATTGGCAGGCATGGATGAGTAAGTAAGAAAACTGACAATAAAGGAACATGGGACTTTTCTGCAGTGCTGGAAATGTTCAACATCTTGATTGTAGTGGTGATAACTATCAGAAATAGTTGTTAAAACACATTGAACAACCCCTCAGGGTAAGATAGCCAAATAGGAACAGCTCCAGTGCACAGCTACCAGCAAGATCAATGCAGAAGGCAGGTGATTTCCACATTTCCAACTGAGGTACCTGGCTCATCTCACTGGGACTGGTTGGACAGTGGGTGCAGCCCAAGGAGGGCAAGCCGAAGCAGGGTGGGATGTCACCACACCCAGGACATGCAAGGGGCCGGGGAACTCCCTCTTCTAGCAAAGGGAAGCCATTAGGGACTGTTCCCTGCACTCTGGCCCAGATACCACGCTTTTCCCAAGGTCTTCACAACCCGCAGACCAGGAGATCTCCTCCAGTACCTACAAAACCACCAGGGCCCTAGGTTTCCAGCAAAAAACCTGGGCGG